AATAAGCAAAATTTACGCTTAAGGGGCACTGAAAATCTCAGGCTAACTGTTCAGGGCGAGATAAAAAAACTGCAGTAGAACTCAAACGCCATAATTTGTATTTCTTTTTTAATTTTATTGAATGAAAGCAAAAAATGTCGGAAATAGCATCTAATTTTAGAATAAGTTTCGATTTGTTCAAATTGGTCACCTTTGGCACGTATTATGACCTTCAAACGGCTAATGAAACTGTCACACGCTGCGTGAATGTTTCTCTGCGGTATTTTGGTCTATTCCCTGTGAAGTGCTTGCTTGAGGTGATCGATAACCTTGCTTTCCAAAATACTCCAGACACAACTGTCCAACGGGTTGGTATCCGGAGATTTTAGTGGTGCGCTGGAAATGGGGCGAGAAAGTGCTGAGTCCTGTTGGAATGTCCAAAATGTCCAAGGCACGCAAGGCAGAATATTTTCGCGATAATATTCGGCATTTATTGTGATGCCACGGCCGATCAGTACGAGCGGAAAGCGACCATAGGGTGTTATGGCGGCCCACACCATCACCATGGCCGGCGCTTGAATTCTGGTGGCCAACCGAAGGTGCACATTTTCAGCTTACCTCCTTGGCAAGTAAACATGATCATTTTGTTTGTTTACAAACTGCTGGACAACGAATGTTTTTCCATCGGAGCGGAGAAAACCAAATTCGGCATTTCACCACTTTCCACCAAGGCACAGTGGTCGAGGTTGTATGGAAACAGCGGCCAAAAATACTTTCAGTGCAGATATCAATATGATTCTTTGGTTATGGTACCTTGATTGGATAAAAATTAAAAATGTGACAAAATGGATATGGTCGATGCATGTTTTGGCATGGTCCCCTTACAACGTACCTCCCGAATAAGGCTTATTTGCCCAATTTTTGTCACATTTCTACACTAGATTGTTCTGTTATTTGACATTTTACGTTCTAAAGAGCTAAAAAATAGTGTTACTTTTATTTCAGGTAGGTCCCCCTGTAAAGGTACCTCCAAAAATAGAAGTATTATTTATATAAATCGAAATTCCAAATTTGATTATTTTTTTGTAAACAAAATAGACATTTTTTTTTGTAAACAAAATAAACAATTCAATATAAAATTAAATAAAAGTTATTAATTGATATTTATAAATTTCAGTGTTATTCAAGTAAATCAAATGCAGATTTTAATAATATAGATTTTTTATTGATTGGAAACGTTCGCTGTCCCGTTATAAAAGGGACAGCTCAGAAGAAGATGATTAATAATTTTTTCGCGTATGATTTAGTCGAAACATTTTTATATCTTTGTTTCTAGACTCCACGGCCACCTCCTATAATTCTCCAATCGATACAATGACAAATTTATATGTATTAAAATTTTATTAGCTGTGGGTGAAAGATAGTGCCATGGATATCTATTTGTTAACTCTTTAGCCGTCTCCAGTGCAAAGGCCTTAAAATTTTCGGCATTTTATACCCAGAAGGCAACATTATTGAACACCCCTCAATTATATCCTTATCAATCCCAAACAACAAATACATATTCTATGTCACTAGCACCATAGAACTGACAAAATTGGAGCGAAGTCACTTCAGTATATTGGACATAACATACAAATCTGACAAAATCTGAAGGTTAAATTAGCACTTCTTGAATCTTAGGACCATTACTAATGGCGTGAAAAAAATCACATTGGAGGATTCAGGGGGGAAAACAATTAAAACTTTAACTGAAATCCAATTTTATTTTCAAAATTAATCTTAAAGGCAACTCAGAACACTCACATCGTCTATATTATACACAACTACTAAACACACAAATTACTGCACTAAAAATAAGCCAATACCTTGCTTTTCAATAATTATGCCAAGAATTGTCATTTTAAAATGTATTTAATTTTGTAATACAGATCTATTTTTACTCTTTTTTTTTACTGATTCCACTGAAAAAAGCAACTAACTATATTTTCTCTTTTTTGATGCTATTTTCGAAGTGTCCCGTTAGAATGAAGCCAAGATTATTATGTTTTCTAAAAAGTTAAACCTCTTAAGAGTTCATCTGTACACATTTGACAATAAATATCTGATTTTCATTTCTTGAATTTTGGCCAATGGCAGCGACCACTGTGCAAGGGAAGCAATTTTTTAGCTCTTTTGAGTCTATTTTCTTTCTGTTGCGGTGTAAGTTCTGGCACTTTTTGGAACTTCAATGTCTTTACCCCGAGCTCATTTTTCAATATTTGGGGAATGGAATATTGCGATATGTTTAGCTCACGAGCAATTTTTCAGCCACTGCGATGCGGGTTTCAATCAAGTCGCTTCTTTACGTTCCGAACCATTTCTGCTTATGCTTTCTTCCGTCCACTTCCTTGACGTCGAGCTACGCTACCAGTATCATGGCAACGAGCGATGGTACGAGACACAAAAGAGTTATTCACATTTAAATGCTGGAGTGATCTAACCATAGCCAATTGGGGTTTTCCAGCCAAATATAAAGAAATCACACTATCACGCTTGAATAATCACGAATAACATTTTTTCTGGAAAATTCTCACTATAATGCTTTTGTACACTTGTAAACAATATATTTTTTTATTGGGGTCCCTGTTGGTGGTAGGTTTCCAATAAATAGGTGGTTTTGGAAATACGTACTAAATTTGGTATTGGGTGAAGGGTGGAAGCCCGAAATTTGATATTGAGATCTCTGTTGGTATCTAACATTTAGATTTTGAGGTGGGTTTGAAAAATCTTACTATAATTCCACAGAAAGTACTAAAAGTTACATCATTTGGTATTGGGTGAAAGGGTCAAGTTGAAATCCTGATATGAATGTCATTGTCTAATTAAAATGTCATCTTTTGAGGGGAGATACCAGATGGATCAGGTCTCTGATTGAGAGAAATAGTTAGAAAAAACATGAAAAGAATTGCTGATTTGTGAATTTTTGTGGGGAGGGAGGTTCTAGAAGCAGTGTACCGATGTGTCCCATTTTCACAAAAGATCTTCTGTTAGTGGAAATATTGGAATGTGTGAAGTTTAGAAAGAATCAGTTGCTTATTACGAATTTTATAAACGTTTAGGTTATTTAATGTTCTAACCCCCTTGTGGGGGAGGTACCAAAAGAAGTGAAACGATATATTTCACCTTCACACCAGATTCTGTGTTAGTAGAAATATTGGGATGTGAGATATTTGAATAGAATCGGATGCTTATTTCGCATTTTATGAGTGTTTAGGTTATTCAAAATTTTAAATCCCTTGTGGGGGAGGTACCAGAGGGTGTGTTCCCACATATTCAATATTCACATCAGATCCTTTGTTAGTAGAAATATCGGGGTATGCCGAGTTTGAAAATGGTCAGATGCATTTAGGTATTCAAAATTTTAACCCCCTTGTGGGAAGGTACCAGAAGGAGTGGACCAAAATTCCATCTCCACACTAGATCTTGTATTGGTGAAAATTTTCGGATAAATGACAAATTTGAAAATTTAAGAGCGTTTTGGAAATTCAAAATTTTAAAATCTTTGTGGGGAGGTCCCAGATGCAGCGTACCGATATCTACCATTTTCACACCAGATCTTGTGTTGAAAGAAATATTGAGATGTGACGAGTTTGAAAGGAATCGGTTGTTAATTTTGCGTTTTATGGGCTTCATGGTTATTCAAAATTTTAGCCCGTCTTGGGGGAGGTAGGATGAGAAGAGAACCGATATATCCCATCATCACAGCAGATCTTGTGTTAGTAAAAACAATGGGATTTGCGAAATATGAGGAGAACTGGATGCTTATTTCGGATGTTATGATCGTTTTGGTTATTCAAAACTTTGACCCTTTGTGTGGAAGGTACCAGAAGAAATGGTCCGATCTCTACCATCTTTATAACAGATCTTGCGTTGATGGAAATATTGAGATGTACCAAGTCTGAATAGAATCGTATGTTAATATCGCGTTTTATGGGCTTCATGGATATTCACAATTTTAAAGCCTTTGTGGGGGAGGTACCGGAAGGAGTTGACCGATATATCCTAAATTTGAAGAAAATCGGAGGCTTATTTCTAATTTTTATTAGAGTAAATATTATTCAAAATGTTAACCCCCTTGTGGGGGAAGTACTAGAAGGATTTGACCGATGTATCCCATCTTCACACAAGGTCTTGTGTTGAAGGAAATATTGGGATGTCATGACTTTAAAAGTAATCGGGTGTTCATTTTGCGTTTTATAAGCTTCATGGTTATTGAAAATGTTGACCCGTTTTTGGGTAGGTACAGGAAGCAGAGATCCGTTCTTCATGTCCGATCTTGTGTTGGTAGAAACATTGAGATGTGAGAAATTTAAAGACAATCGAACTCTTATTTCACATTTTAATTATTCAAAATGTTGACCCTTTGTGGCTACTTCATGGAGTGGACCAATGTTGTCCGTTTTAAAATCTGACATAGCCCAGATAAAAAAATTAGAATTTACAAAGTTTGCACAAAATTGGATAATACTTTCTTGTTCTAAGAGGTAAATAATTTTCTTTTGGAAAAGTTTACCTTTTGTGGAGGATGTACCAGAAGAAATATACCGATATTGCCTTTACCCGAACTCGATCTAAGTTTGATAATAATATTATAATATACCACGTTTGGACGTAATCGTATACTCGCTTCGAGAGTTATCGTGGGCTGCATCCAGACAGACGAACGGATGAGCACCCCTGGATCAAATCTAAATATTCCGAAACCGATTTGGTTCTAAGAGATCTAGAGTCTAAACCGTATTATTTGGATATATAAAATAATAACCATATGGCTGAGGGTATATAAATATGATTTCAACCTAAACTTGCCTTTATTCCACATATTTCCGGTCGCGAAAAATAAAATCTGGCATCTCTTTGAGTTTGAGAAGCAATTCAAAGCTGTGCTTCACCGCAGAGCTATGAATTGAGGAGGTAAACAAATGATCTCGCTATTGGCTATCAAATTGACCGGCATTCGGTTTGAAGTTTTGTCAGCCAGTTTCAGTTTCAGTTGTTTGAGAGACGTGTTTCAGAGCGGTTGTGCTGCGGTTGCGAGTCGGACTTACGTTACATTTTGGCAAACATTTATTGGCAAGATAACTGCTGCAGGGTATGCGTGGCGATTGAATATTTTTTTTGATGATACGTGTTTTTTTTTTTTCAATAAAAAAAAAGAAAATAAATAAAAAACAAAACAAAATCCTGCCAAAACAAAGAAAAAAGTAATTATTCATTGAAAAAAAAAAAAAAAAAAATAATTATAATTATTTTGTTAAACATCATGGCTACAGCATCTTTGTCTGTAACAAAAAAAAAAAAACACAAAAAAATATATAAAAAATTCTATAAAACAACAAAAAACAAAATATTATCAAAGATGAAGCTTTAATTGTGAGGAGGCTGTTATATAGTTAGTGGTTGTTCTGTTGATGTTCTGGTTGTTGTTGTTGTTGTTATTATTGCTGTTTTATTTAAACAAAATACATTTTTATTGAATTTAAATTTTTTTTGTTGTGGCTTTGATTGACCACCAACAAAAGTTGAAAAAAATCAAACAACACAAACATACACACAAAGATTCTTGAATATATAAACATGTGTGTTGTGAGTGCCAGTCGTGTGCGTGTGTGTGTGTGTGATGCCAACAACAATGACCGCAGTGTTGACGGTGGCGATGATGATGATGATCAATTGGGGTTTTTGTATTTCCATTTCATAGATAATCGAACTGCCGAGGTTCTTTTCTTTTTTTTTTTTCGAAAAATATGTCTAGAAATGAAATACGGGAAAAAAAAATAGCTCATCGAAAAATCCGGTCAATTAAAAATTCTCAATAAAAACAAAAACAAATCTGGAGCATTACAAAAAATATCCCAATGACATGATAATCTAGTGATCTTGTTGAAACATGAAATTGATTTCAATATTGAGTGAAATTAAATAATAACGGAATATAGAACAACTAAAGTCTTATCTGTGTTTTGTATTTTCGAATTGAAAAAAAAAAAAACCAACAAAAGAATATTTTGAATAAATAATATACAATTTATTAACAAAACACGAGTATTGATATTGTGAAACGACAAATATAAAACGATCGGAAAAAAGTTCAACAAAACCATACACTTCAGTTCAAGTTAATTTTAACAACAAAAAAGTTACTTGTTTTACGGCTTCTTCTTAATTAACCCTTAAAGGGGCGGTAGGTAGAAGCAATGACATTCTTAACCAACCAACAAGTGAATACATACGTCATTACATCGCACTTTTTATATTTTCCAAGAAGATGAACTGTCTCCACGATCGTTCGTTTATTTAATGATTAAATATTACAAATATTTGGTACTACAGCCTATGACCAATAAATTACTTATGCAGGTCCACGTCTTCGTATAGCCTCCGAATAAATTTATAACGGCATTTTTCGTAATTTTTTGAAATTTTTAAAATTGCTTCCAAAGTGTGGAAAGTATTAAAAGATCGGCCCTGCCGAACTTAGCTGTTTTGTTACTTGTTTTTTAATAGCTTTGATCGTAGATTTTAAGGAAATTTTCAGTTACAAACAAGTTAAAAAGCAGTAAGTTCGGCCGGAGCGAACTTTGAATACCCTCCACCATTTGGAACGAATTTGGAAATTTTCAAAAAATAAAATACTTAAAAATTCTGTTAAAATTTTAAAAATACCAAATATTGCCGTTATATTGGGGTCTATACGACGTGGACCTACATAGGCATTGTTGGCCATTAGCCATTACCATATTCAAATTCGAAACTTGAAATAAACTGTGAATAATGTAGAGAAAATCATCAAAATATCGCATATATTGAGGTACCAATATATATGGGAGCTGTGCGAAGACCTGGACCAGCATAGACAATTTTCTGTCACAGGCTGTAGCATCCATTGCGAAGTTCAAATACAACATCTCCAACAATTTCGGTGGGTATTGTACCCAAAATCGTCAAAATACCGAATATAGGGAGGTACTGATATATGGGGCCTATACAAAGACCTGGACCTGCATAGACAATTTTCTGTCACATACTGTAGTTCCCATTACGAACTTCCAATACCAAGTTTGAAACAATTCCGGTGAATAATAAGAGCTTAAATCATTAAAATACCGAATACCGAAGACATGGACCTGCACACATAATTTTCTGTGTTAGGCTGTAGTATCCATTTCGAACTTCAAATACCAAATTTGAAACAATTCCGGTTAATAATGTCGCTAAAATCATCAAAATACCGAATATCGGGAGAAAAATAAACATGTGTGCAAAATTTTAGCCTTCTATCTCAAATCGTTCGAAAGATAACGTGATTACAACAGACAGACAGACAGACAAACAGACGGACATCGCTAAATGAACTTAGAATTTTACGCTGATCAAGAATATATATATACTTTGTTGGGTCTGACATGAGTAATTCGAGGAGTTACAAACGGAATGTGGTATAACAAAATTTGGAGTAGATTTTAAAGGATTTCTGAAAACGTCAAACGGTGAAATAATCTTGGATTTGAGAAATATGTAAAACACTGACAGAGGTAGAATAAAGGAACACTAATAGCGGAATTCAATAACTCACATACCAGCATCGAGAATTTTTATTTTTTTAAACAACCACAGAGCTTCAACCTCAATTTAACCGTTATTTTAAGGAGTATTTTTTACGACCCAAAATCAAGGATCGTATGTTTTGGAAAATGTTTTTATATCGTAAAATTTTTGTCAAACTTAGATCGAGCTCAAACATGGACAATATCGGTCCACTCCTTCTGGTACCTCCCCCACAAAAGGTCGACATTTTCAAAAAAAATATATATCTTGCACAGAAAGTGAAAGGATAATACAATTTTGCTCCAACTTCGCAAATTCTAGTATTAGTGCTAGTATTATCAATGCTAGGTCTGGTGCGAAAATGGACAATCTCGCCCCACTCCATCGAGTAAGTTCTCCACAGAGGGTCAACATTTTGAATAATTATAACTCTTATAAATTGTGATATTAGAGTCCGATTGTCTTCAAATTAGACACATCGCAATATGGTCTGATGTGAAGATGGAATATATCAGTCGACTCCTTCTGGTACCTCCCCCACAAAAGGGGTCAACATCTTCAACATCCATGAAGATCATAAAACCGGAATTTAGCATTCGATTCCATTCAGACTTGGCACATCTCAATATTTCTATCAACACAAGATTTGTTATAAGTATAATAGAGATCGGACCATTACTTTTGGTACCTCCCCCACAAAGGGTCAAAGTTCTGAAGAACCTAAACGATCATAAAATTCAAAATAAGCACCCAGTTCTCTTCATATATCACACATCCCATTATTTCTACTGACACAATATCTGATTTGAAGATGGGATATATCAGTCCACTCCTTCTGTTACCTCCCCCACAAAGGGCCAACATTTTGAATATCCATAAAGCTCATAAAAAGCGTAATTAACATTCAATTCCATCCAGAGTTGGTACATCTCAATATTTCTATCAACACAAGATCTGCTATAGAGATGGTAGAGATCGGACCATTTTTTCTGGAACCTCCCCCACGGCAAAAGTTTCTGTCTGGCTGACTGCTGTGCACGATAACTTTTGAAAGGAGCATACGATTCGTCAAACTTATATCAAGTTTGAAGTTGTGTAATATAGGTCCACAACTTCCCCTTCCGGTGGGGGTACCTGTAAAAATTGAATACTTCACAGAGAACTAATCATATCGGTTTAATTTCGAATATAACAATATTTTTATCAGGTCTAAGTTGGGTGAGAAAATTATGATTACCGACCCACTGCTTCTGGTATCTCCCACATAAAGGATCAAAGTTTTGAATAATCATAACTTTATCTTCAAATTTCGAAAAACTTAATATTTCTACCAACTCTAGATGAAGATAGGGTATAATGGATCACTCCTTCATACATGCGATTATTTTAAAATTTGGCACGTCCCGATATTTCTATCAGCACAAGACCTGGTGTGATGGCACTACCACAAAAAAATTCAACATTTTGAATAATTATAATTCTAATAAAATGTGAAAAAAAAATTCCTTCAAACTTCGTACAGTCAATATTTCTTCCAACTACTGATCTAGTGTGAGTATAGGACATATCGGTTCACTATTTCTGGTATATAGTGCACAAACGGCTAAAATATTGAGAAATAAAAACTCTCGTAAAATAAATGTCTAACATTTATCAAACTAAGAACATCGAACCGTATTTTCGCCTATTTTACAGCATTTGTAAAAAAGGAAAATATAAGTATATCGCTTTCTAGTACCTCCTTTACAATAGTTCAAAATATTAAGTGAAGTTCCATTTTTGCAATAGGAAAAAAATGAAAAAAAAAAAAAAAAAACAAAAATCACACACGTATCTCACATAGAACCAATCGAATGGCCATTGAGGATTGTGGTATTCCTTTAATAAGACTTTTATCATTTTGGACCTCAATACCTAGTATCTCTCACCAAAAAGGTCAACATTTTTTGTACGAAGATATGTTGGTCCACTTCTTCTGGTACCTCTTCCAAAAACGATATAACCTATTAATAATCGGACTTATGATTGCAATTATTATTCCTAGTTTTTTTTTCAAAGTTATACTGCACGACAAGGACATACACAGAAATGCATTTCGAAACCATCTTAGGTGTGGGGTCAACTAGCTTCCTTCTTCATATTACAAATGCACAAATACATAATACCCTTTCCACTACGTGTAATAGGGTATATTTATAATTCGAGTGAAAATGATGAATTTGCTTTTTATAACCTACATCTTTGAGGATCTCCATAGAATCACTTTCTGACTTGATTTATGCATGTCAGTCCGTTCGTCCGTCCGTTTGTCCATGTATTCTTGTGAACAAAATGCAGGTCGCATTTATTATCCGATTGAGATGAAATTTTGCAAACACCATTTGTTTGGCCCAAGGACGAACCCTATTGAAATTGGAGATAATCGGTCAAAATTTAGATATAGCTCCCATATATAATTTCGTCCGATTTGCTTTTTATTGTGCACCAAACGTGTAATATCAGCCCGAATATTATGGAATTTTGCACATACAACCAAATTAAGGCCTAAAAATAAGTATGCCAAATTTGATCGAAATCAGTTCAGATATAGCTATAACTCCCATATATATTGTTCATCCGATTTGTTATTTTTGTCCTCCGCAGCCGTAATATGCACTCTGTAACAACAATATTTGGGGAAATATATCAAATGCAGCTCAGAAATACTTTTGCTAAATTTTATCGAGATCGGTTCAGATTTGAATATAGCTCTCATATATAACTTCGTCCGATTTACCTTTTATTGTACACCAAACGTCTAATATTTGCCCAAATTGGATGGAATTTGGCACATGCGCCCGAATTGAGTCTAGAAGGTAGTGTGTCAAATTTGGTGAAGATCGGTTCAGATATAGCTATAGCTCCCTTATATATTCTTCATCCAATTTGTTATATTTGTTACCCACAGCCGTAATATGCACTCCGTAACAACGACATTCAGAAATATCTTTGCCAAATTTTGTCGAGATCGGTTCCGATGTGGATATAGCTCCCATATATATCTTTATCCGATTTCAAAATTAATTGTGCACCAAATGGGCAATATAAATCCGAATTTAAAAGATACAAATTCTTCGGCATATTTAGTCTTTTGAACTTTAAATTATAATTATAATCATAGGGTTTATGATTGAATTCTCCCATAAAAACTTTTAATTGCTATGCGGAGCTCTACTACATTAGCAAAGTGGTGTAGGGTATCATAAAGTCGGTCCCGCCCGACTTTAAGACTTTCTTTACTGGTTTTTAATAATTTCCCTTTATTATCGAAATGTATATATATTTCGAGTGAAAATTATGGGTTTACTTTTTTAACTGCTAATTTTACCAAATCCCTCTCACGACTTCATTTTTTTAAGATAATGCCAAAGAAAGAAATATTCGATATCGAATTTTATTTTTGATTTTTGAGTAAGTAGGCTATATGTTTCATTGTTTTGTTTAAAAAAATATGAAGCAAAAAAGAAGAGACAAAACATAAAAATAAATCCGGTTTAAGTAGCTCAATTCAGTGTTCTTAATAACTTTTTGTTTGTTGTTAATTTTTATTTTTTATTTACATCCTATACACAAAAAATGTTCTTTGTTTTACAGACATTCACAAAAGTTTGTTGTAAAAACAAACTTTTTAAAAGCAGAATATTCGATACGCCCCTCTTTGTGATTTGTAAATTAAGAAAAAATGATAAGAATTCTTTTAGTTGGACAAAGGATAGGTTTTTTGCCTCCAAAAACGTGTTTCTTTCACTTCTTTTTTTTTGTCAACCAGAATAAAGTGGCATATTTTATGAGTCTCGCGAAAGGGCTTTGTACCAAAGAACAGGTTGTCCAGTTAACATTCTCAGCTGTCCCTTCATTGGCTAGGCATGAGAGTTGCGAACAAAGATTGGAATTGTGTGACACTGGGAAACACAAAAAAAGTTACTCAAAGAGTGTCACAACTCAGTGAATTCAGTGTTAAGAAAATGCATTTTGAGTTATCGATTGAAATTCGAATTTCGAAATTATTAGATTTTTAAACAAAAAGTAATAAAACTACATCGACAAATATTTGTAAAGCTCTTTAGGGGTTTTTCAAAGGAGTGGGTCAAAATATGATCCACTATATCGACTATGTGTAAAATTTGAAGAGAGTTTAAAATGTTGAACCCGTTTTGGGGGAGGTACCAGAAGTAGTGGCCCGATGTATTTCATCTTCATACTATATCATGTGTTGATAGAAATATCGAAATGCGCCGAGGTTGCAGGTAATGAGCTTCCGCATTTTGCTTTTTATAAGATCCATGGATATTCAAAATATTGACCCGGTGTGAAGAAGGTACTTCAAAGGAGTGATCCGATCTATCCATTGTTTATACCAGATTTTGCTTTGGTTGAAATATTGAGATTTGCAAAATTTGAAGTCAATCGGACTCTTATTTTACATTTTATAAGAGTTGTAATTTTTGAAAATTTTGATCCTTTGATCGATATTGTCAACTTCCGCACCTGACTAAGTACTGATAGAAATATTAGGATTTGCAAACTTTGCCCGAAATTGTATGATATTTTCTGGTTCTATGTGGTAAATTATTTTCTGTAAAAATTGTCACCTTCTGTGGGAGAGACTCCAGAAGAAGTGAACCGATAAAGGCCATCTCCGAACTCAATCTAAATTTGATAATAATATTACAAGGTACGATGTTTGAACCAAATCAAATGTGCCCTTCGGGAGTTATAGTGCGCACAAGCCAGCCAGACGGAGTGAAGGACACTCCTAGATGGACTTAAAATGTGCTGAAGCGACCTAGTGCAGAAAACCATTATTTCGGTGAGGCACGTTTTGGCCGTATGAAATGATATATGCCCTCTGCAACCAAATGGTAGAGGTTATAATGAACAATTAAAGAAGCAGGAAAGTTCGACTGAGCCGAATTTTTAATAACCTCCACCATTTTGAAGGAACATGAAAAATGTCAAAAAAAAAAAAAAAAAAAAAAAAAAAAATCCGGGACTATACCAAGATGTGGTCCTGCATAAATAATTTTTTTTCATAGTCTGTCGTACCCATTACCAACTTCAAATAAGAAATTTGAAACAATTTCGGTAAAAATTTAGTTAATATCATCAAATTACCGATTAAAGGGAGGTGCCGTTATATGTGGACCTGCATAGAATTTTTTCCGTCAAAGGTTGTAGTACCCATTACTAGCTTCAAATACGAAATTTTAAAAACTTTCGGTGAATAATATCCATAAATTATCAGAATATCAAATACTGGGGGCTATACAAAGACGTGAACCTGCATACGCAATTTTTTGTCATAGGCTGTAGTAGCCATTATGAACTTCAAATACGAAATTTGAAACAATTCCGATAAAACATGTCGATAAAATCATGCAAATACCGAATATTGGGAGTTTCGGTTACATGGGGTATGTACGATATCATGGTCCAATGTAGTTCACCTTCGAACTTGACCTGCCTGCAGACAAAAGACTGATCTTTGCACAATTTTAGCTTCCTAACTTAATTCGTTTTGACTCTAGCATGATTACAACAGATGGATAGGGCTAAATCAGCTTCCTTTATTAGATTTTAGAGCATTCGACAGTCGCTTATGTTTCCCTCTTCCTTATCGTATTATTTGCAATTCTATTGTTTTCAGAATTCCTTCATGTTGCCTATCAATAATTACATTTTCAATATTTCTACGAATTACAGAACAAAGAAAAATTCCGCAAATCTCATAGTTGCCCATCGAACGCTAATAACGTCATAATTTCCAGCATATATGAATCAATTTGTAATCAATTAAAAAAGCTAAGCAGCGGGTGGGCAACAACAACAATTTACAACATCGACAGACTCCGACCGATTAGCAGGAATCTGATTAGAAATGCAGACGAAGGCAAAAAGTAAAGACAAAGAAAATGATAGCCGGAAAACAACAACGACTACGGAGATCAGCTTGACAATTGTCGCCATGGTGATGCTGTTGCAACAGATACCTCTCTCACAGGCAGCATATGGTAAGTAGAAATTCTCTTTCTGCTTAAATTTCTCTTTCTCTCTCTCTCTTCCCCTTTCTAAATCTCTTTACTAATGGAATGGACAATGTTTTATTGTGTTTGTGTGTGTGTGTTTTTATGTTCTTGTTATGTCCTTGTTATTGTCCATTTTCAAGAAGATGATCCCTGTGAGACCAAGAATACACCCGGCATTTGTAAAACCTGGGCCGATTGTCCCGTCATCAAGACCCTTATACAGCGTAATGTTTACACTCAACGAGAAGTGGTTAGCTGTGGTTTTGGTATACGCGAAGAATTGATCTGCTGTCCACTTGTGGCCGATGAAACATCAACCACAACGACGACGACAACAACCACATTGAGGCCACCCAGACCAAATATGTAAGTATGCCAAGCGAATTATGACGATGATGATAAATGCTTCTCCTCCATTCACCACATTGCTGTGTTAAAAGGAGATAATTTGTTGATTTAAAATTGGTTGTTATTTGATTTTTTTTTATTTAACAAACACTTGAAAGCGGAATGAAATTGAAATTCGGAAAAAACTGAATTCTTAATTGCTCATCATTTTTAATCGATTGCTTTCTGAGTGCATTGTCTTTTTTTTTGTACTTTCAAATAGCTGCCAAACCAAATCAGAATCTGGCACTTGCAAAAGATGGGGTGATTGCCCCATTCTTAAGATTTTAATAGACCATGGCGAGTATAGAGTCGAAGAGGTTATCCGCTGTGGGTTTGATATATATGAGGAAATTATTTGTTGTCCCGATTTTTTATTTAAGAGCAAGGCTGGAAGAAGTTTACATGGGTTAGTAAATGCAATTGTTTTATCAACGAAATATAAAATGCAACCCCCCTCCCCCCATTTTGTGTTGTAGGTATTGGGGTTACTAACACATTCATATATTTTTAGCAAATACTTGAAGGGATAGAAATTTAATAATCCTTTTTCATGTATTCGATGGATGTACAACTTGAAAATTGGGTAGGAAATCAAGATTGGAAAGCTAGTTTGATATATGAAGGTGCTTTTGAAAATGTGTACCAAGTGTGTGAACCGTAGTTGCGTACGTTGCATGAAGAGTACTAAATTTGGTATTAGGTGAGGGAATATGGCTGAAACCGTGAAATTTTATATCGCGATAACTTTTGGCATCTAGGATTGAGATATGGAACGTTTTTGCAAAGGAGTACTAAAATTATACGAAAAATAAAAAAATTACTAGATTTGAAAATGGGTTAAGGAATAGGGCTGGAATACAGAAATTTGATATTGAGGTCTCTTGTGGTGGTTTTGCAGATACTTACTATTTTTGTCGAAAGAGTACTAAATGGTAGTAAATTCGGTAATGATTGAAGGTATGGGGCTAGAGTCCTCAGTGTAAAAAATACGAAATGGACTAAATGTTACTAAAATTGGTATTGAGTGAGTGTATAGAGCTGGAATCCCGAAATTTAATATTGAGGGTTCTGTTGGTATCTCATATTCACGCCTGATCTTGCAATCGTAAAAATGTTGGGATGTGCAAAATTTGAAAAGAATTGGATACTTTTTTCGTACCAGAAGTAGTGGACCGATGTATTTCATATTCACACCATGTCTTGTGTTGATAGAAATATTGAAATGCGCCGAGCTTGAAAGTAATCGGAAGCTCATTTCACTTTTTATAAGCTCCATGGTTATTAAAAATATTGACCCGGTGTGAAGGAGGTACCAAAAGGAGTGGTACCTCCCTATCTATTCTTTATAACAGATTTTGCATTGATAGAAATATTTAGATTTGCAAAATTTGAAGTCAATCGGACTCTTATGAGACGTCTTCTTTTGAAAGGAAAATCGTCCGGTTGGTAGGATTTTTTTGTAGAAATTCAAGGTTTTGTTTTTTATTAAAAGTGAATCCTTTAGAAGGTCGCCATTACATAGAAGTCCTTTTAAGGGATCTACTTTACAGGGAGGACTTTCCTTTTTTTAATAGAAACAATACTGTTGATGACTTGAAAATATTTCAACAAGATATTCTATAGATGGAAGGCTTTTCCACGGGTTTTCTGTCGATAAAAGAGATTTTAATAAGCGTTCTATTAATTGCAGGCTTTTGAAAGGGGTTTTCAAACGATAAAACAACTTTTAAAATATATTTCCTCAATTCATGACCTTTTGACATATTTTTTATACCCTCAGCCAGGGTATATATCATTTGATACGACCAAAACGTGCCGCCTTTAAATAACGGTTTTAGAAAATAGGTCTCTTAGGACCAAATCCGTTTCAGGACATTTGGGGTCGATCTAACGATGTCCGTCTATCTGTCTGGTGCTCACGATAACTCTCGAAGGTAGTATCCGATTTGATCCAAGCTTGGTACATTGTAATATAATTATTAAAATTAGATTGAGTTCGGAGATGGGCAATATCGATTCACCCTTTGGCGACTTCCCCACCAAATTTTAGCATTTTCGTAGAAAATAATTTACGTCATAGAATAAGAAAGGATCATCCGATTTTGGTCTGGTAGGATAATGGACAGTATAATTTGACTCGGCTAAAACGTGTCTCATCGAAATAACGGTTTTAGACCACAGGTCTCTTTTGACAAAATCCATTTCTGGGCATTTGGAGTCGATCTAATGATCCGTCTGTCCACCCTCGAAGGGAGTATCAGATTTGGTCCAAACATGGTACATCGTAATATTATTATCAAACTTAGATCGATATCGGAGATGGGCAATATCGGAACACTCCTCGTGGTACCTCCCACACAAAATATCACCATTTTCAAAGAAAATAATTTACTGCACAGAAAGAGAAAAGATAATCCGATTTTGTTCTAACTTTGCAAATCCTAATAATTGCATCAGTGCTAGGTCAGGTGCGAAAATGGACAATATCGGTCCACTTCATCAAGTATCTCCCCCACAAAGGGTCAAAATTTTGAATAATTATAACTCTTATAAAATGTGATGTAAGAATCCGATTGTCTTAAAATTACACACATCCCAATGTTTTGATAAACTCAAGGTCTGGTGTGAAGATGGAATAAATCGGTCCACTCTTGCCGGTACCTCCCCTACAAAAGGTCGAAATTTTCAAAGAAAATATTTTACTGCACAGAAGGAGAAACGATTATCCGATTTTGCTCTAATTTTGCAAGTCCTAATATTTCCATCGGTGGTAGATCAGGGGCAAAAATGGATAACATCGGTCCACTCCAAGCTTTGAATAACCAAAATTATTATAAAATCCGAAATAAGCATCCAGTTCTCTTCATATTTCACACATACCATTATTTCTACTAACACAAGATCTGCTTCGAAAATGGAAAATATCGGTCCGCTTTATCTAGTACCTCTCCCACAAAGGGTCAGAATTTCGAATATCCATGAAACTCAAAAAACGAAATTGACATCAGAATCCACTCTGACTTGGTACATCTCAATATTTCTATTAACATAAGATCTGTTAGAAAGATGGTAGAGATCGGACCATTCCTTCAGGTACCTCCCCATAAAGGGTCAACATTTTGAAAAACCAAAATGATTATAAAATCCAAAATAAGCATCCGGTTCTCTTAGTATTTCAGACATCCCATTTTTTGTACAAACGCAAAATCTGCTGAGAAGATGGGTCCACTCTTTCCTGTACCTCCGCTTATAAAACGCGAAATTATTTGCTAATACAAGATCTGTTGTAAAGATGATATATATCTGTGAATACCTTCTGGTACCTCAAGTGCAGACTTTTAACAGATCTTCAATTGATAGAAAAACTTTCAACAAATCTAACAAATGCAGACCTTTCTAAAGTTCTCCCATCGATAGAAGAGCTCCTAACAATTTTTTTTATTAAAAAGGTCTTTTTGGTCTTCCATCGATTGAAGAGCTTCCAACAGATCACCTAATTTCCTTTGGATAGAAGACCTCTCAACTGAATCTCTGAAAGGTTATTTAAAAGGAAACACTATCCATCAGCAGGTCTTGTATGGGGTGATTACCAGGTCTTTCGTGAATTGAAGATCTTTCAGCTGTTCTTCAAAGATTTTGGAAGATCTTCCATCATATCTTGTGTAGATTGAAGATCTTCGAAGGCACTTTGACAATAGTACCCTTTCCAACAGGGTGTCTGTGGATAAGACGTCCTTTAACAGTTCTCCTAGACATAGATAACAACTTTCAACATTAAAAAAAAAACAAATTTAATTTCAAATTTGAAGAAATTTAAGAAGTTTCATAACTGTTATACAAGTTTTATACGCTTTATAAACTGCCTAGGAATGATTTTATTCCATTATACAGGGCTATTATACAAGTGTTATACGTGGATCTAAAATTTATTAGACTTAGACCTGAGGAAAAGTCAGATATAGATTGAATTGGATATTTTGAAAAAAAGTTAATGCAAAAGTAAAAGTTTTATAACTGTATATACATGTGTTATACTCCTTGTTAACGTTATACGACTATTTTATACGGTGAAAATAGCTCTTTTCAATGTTTTTTTTTTTTAGTTCTTTATAATGCAAAAATTACAGTTTCATAACTGTTATATAGGTGTTATACTCCTTGTAAACTGCTTTAAAACGATTTTATATGGGAAAATAGCTATTTTTAACGATTATGTAGTTGTTTATAAGTGTTATACAACTATTATAAAGCATTTATAACTGTTATAATTTTTACAAATTCTTTAAAAAACGTACTTACAATCTTAAACATCGATTTTCCCAGATGGAATACCTAAAAAAATAAAATTGCAACATTTAATAACTTATATTATAACTAAATTATAACACTTTCATAACTGTTATACAACTTTTATACAGTAAATGTACTGTTATAAAGTCGTTTTATATGGTAATATATCAGATATAATAATTTGCTATACGTTCTACGTACTATATAACTTGTATACAAGTGTTATACATATACCAATTAGTACTGAAGCCCTTTGAAAAACATCGGGTTTTTTATTACACAAATTTTATTGAATATAGACAAGCTTCTACAGATTCGTTTTGCATGCGTAATGAAACCTTTGCGATAAAGTTTTTATAAGTGTTATAGAACTCTTAGATATGTTTTATAACTGTTAAAATGGTTTTGTATTGTTAAACATTACACAATTATCATTAACTGTATCAATATTGCTTATCGGAAATTAACTCTCATGGTTTTCTACAGATAGGAAATTAAGAAGCTTTTAGCAGGTCTTCTATAGAGGGAAGTCGTTTCAATTTTTGTTTCCATTGATGGAAATTTCTGTGGGGTTGTGGTGTTTTAATTGGCAGGTGGTAGGAACAAGGGTGTCTGAAAATCTCCGAGACAAGAAAAAATTGAACTGCAAATTTGGAGAAAAATATTAATGAAAATATAACAGTTTTCTAACTGTTATACAAGTGTTATACTCCTTAAAAACTGTTCTAAAATGATTTTATTTGAAAAATAGCTGTTATCAACGGTTACGTCGATGTTATAAACTATTTTATAAGTGTTATACAACTGTTATAAATGCATTACAACTGTTATATTGTTAATTATGTATTATCGGAAATTACCTCTCATGGTTTTCTACAGATAGAAAATTGAGAAGCTTTTAGCAGGTCTTCTATAGAGAGAAGTCCTTTCAATTTTTCTTTCCATTGATGGAAATTTCAGTGATGGTTTTGTTGTTTTAATTGGCAGGTGGTAGGAACGATGTTATCCGAACATCTCCAAGACAAGAAAACATTGAACTGCAAATTTGGAGGGAAATATTTATGATAATATAACAGTTTTATAACTGTTATACAAGTGTTATACCCTTTGTAAACTGTTCTAAAATGATTTTATTTGAAAAATAGGTGTTATCAACGGTTTTGTAGATGTTATATAAGATTTTATAAGTGTTATACAACTGTTATAAATGGATTACAAGTGTTATAATGTTAATGTATTGCCAAGAAAACTTCCTTTAACCAGTTATACATCAGCTCATCGGAGATTCTCTTTTACGAGATTTTTTAAGTGTTATACAACTGTTATAAATTATTATAACTGTTATAATAATATTTTTTTGTTAAAAAATAGTCGTTTTCTAGTTATACAGCTTTTATAAACTGCCAGCTCATAGGAAATTCCCTTTCAAGTGTTTGTTAAATGCTGCCTCAAAATTTCCCATATCTACGCTACAAATCATTCGATTTCATATTTTCAAAATTTTGTTTAATATCATCAAAATGTTATTTTTTCTATAAACTAACCTGGTAGATGGTAGTATTTACTTAAAACTATTGATTCTTTTCTTTCCCATCCGCTCCCACCCATCCCTCCGGTGCAATTCCCCACTATGCTTTAAAATGATGCCACAAATCATCATCTTCACAAAACATCGTCGTCTAGCGAAACAACAACACAAAGAGATTTTTGGTTGGATGATTTGGAGAAATTACAAAAAACAACAACAACGTCGACGACCACGACAACAACTCAGAAGCCTGATTTTTGGTTGGATTTAATAACAACAAGCACCACAACACAGAAGCCAGATTTTTGGCTCGATTTTATAACAACTACAAAACCCACAACGACAACAACAACCACAACTACCGTTAAGCCCATAATTGTTGGAGATAAAAAATTAGATGGTTCCGTGGACTATATAGACTTGACAAAATTGTTGGCAGAAAAGCGGGAAAATAAAAAGAAATCTGTTGACCAAAACTCGGATGAAGCTCCAGCCAAGCCATTGGAGGAACAAGTTGTGGATCAGTGGAATGTTAATCCGGGAAATGGTCCAGAAAATCCGCATAATGGAAATTTCCAAAATGGAGCCCTGGTGATGCCCCCAAACAATGGTCACAATGGGAATCAGGGGAATTTTCCAAATGTACCCTTTGCGTTTCCCCAAAATAATGGCCAAGGTGCTAATTGGAATCAGGGTAATATTGGTCTTGGCCAGGGACATAGGGGCCAAGGAAATACGGGGCTTGGCCAAATAGCAAACTTTCCCAATTCCAATCCTTTTATAAATTCTCCCGGTAATCGTGGCAATAGAGGCCAGGGCAACAGAGGTCGTGGCCCCAACAATAATGGATGGACTGGCAGATCTGGTGGCCAGGGGTTTTCGTTTCCCGACCATAACAATGGTGGCGTAAGGCCAAATGAATTCAATGGCTTCCCAAATAATCCAAATCCTGGAAATAATTGGAACTCTCCAAATCAATTTGGAGTAGCTCCAGTTCCGGTTGTCAATCCTGGTTTTGTTATTGAGCCCGCAATTGAACAGGGCGATCTTGTGGCAGCAGGATCCAGTCCCCAAGTTGTGTGGGTTGCACCTGCAGATCAAGTAGAAATCATAGATCCCTCCCAGATAATTTCCCACCATACCATACCCGTAATGGAATCGTATGTGATGGAAAATAATCTGGAACCTCAATCGCGGCCCAGTACCACATCCACCCAGCCATCGGCAAGCTTCAATCCCATACAAAAAGTCTATGAAAATCTCATCAATTCTGGCATGGATATTGTCAAGGCTAAGGCCGAGTTTATAGATACAATGTGGCAGAAACACCAGCAGAATCAGAGAAATCAAAACGGCAGGTCAAGACCTATGACCTCAAATCAGCAGGGAGGCCAACAATCCATATTTGGGAATCAAAATCCGGCCATTGTTGAGCCACCACAGCATCCTTTGTTTCCTTTGAGACCAGGACAACAGGAAGATTCTCATTCCCTGCCATCCACCCCAATTCTGGGACAGCCAACTCATCAGGTTTCATTCCCCAATGGACAAACTGAGACGAATTCTCAGCTGGTACAATTTCCACAACATCCCGTTCAGAGCGGTTCACAATTTCCCCGAAATCCAAATCAACAGGGCAACTCGGCATTTGTACAAACACCACAACAAACAGGATCACAAGGACCCTCCGAACGACCAGGAACCTCAAATCAACAAGGCAACTCTGGATTTGTACAGCTGCCACCAAGTGGCGCCCAATCACCCAACATTCAAACGCCACCCGCTCAAGTATTGGATCCCTTTAAGCCTTTTGAATTTAGGCCACCACCAGAGGATGAAGTTGTTTTTGCCGAGGACAATAATTCGATAAGGTGCTTTAAATTCCCCTTTTCTCTTCCTCCCCCCCAACAGAAAAAACTTCCTTTCATTGTAGTTAGAAACCATTTGTTTCCTTTCAAAATTATGTTTATTCTCATGAAATTATGCACTCTCTCTCTTTCTCTCTATATCAAATCATACTATCGCTTGTTTTTCCCCCGAAATCCTTTTGAAATGCAATTGGTTGCATCAAATTATTTGATTTCCCTTTTTTTATAGCAATCTAACACCCGATCCCAATCCGAGACCTAATTCCAATGATAGGCCGGCAGTGAGAGGTAAGAACAAATGAATTTGTCCCTAGAAATATTGAATTTCAAACTCCTCTCTCTCTCTCTCTCTCTCTTTTAGCTTGTCGCCGTATACAGGAAGGCCTCAAGCCAAGTTTGTCCCAACACATCTTGGGTGGCATACCCGCTGAATTGGGTGAATTCCCCCACATGGCTGCCATCGGTTATGGCCGTATCGGTGATGATGACCAGGGTCCCTATGACATCCTCTGTGGTGGTAGTTTAATCGATGCCCGTTTCGTCTTGACAGCAGCCCATTGTGTTGCATCCAGAGATCGTAGACCATCGATTGTTCGTCTGGGTGTGGTGAATTTCACAAATCCCGAGGAGATGGCCAATGCAGTGGAGATGAGAATAAAGGTAAGTGGAAGAAGGGGAAAATTAATGAAATAAGGTAAACTAATGAAAAAATAACATCTCACAAATCATTAACATATTAAATAAGGAAAATATTGAGATATAATGTACATACTGTTTTAACGAACTTATATGTGTATGTACACATTTCATTTGGAAAAGCTAACCCATGTTATGCCATTTTTTTGTATACCACAACGTCCATTATTGCACAAAATTAACATTTCTCAGACATAATATTGGATTTTCTTAAATATGAGTAATCAAGTGTAAAAGTTGACTTTCTGATTTTTGCTTTCAACAACAGATCTATTTTCTTTAATAACACAGTGTAACGAAAAAAGAAACAGTAAAGAAAGTCTTAAAGTCGGGCGGGGCCGACTTTATGTTTACGGTTGTGGGTAACAAATATAACAAACCGGATGAACAATATATATAGACTCAATTCGGTCGTATGTGCCAAATTCAATCCCATTTGGACAAATATTAGACGTTTAGTGCACAATAAAAAGTAAATCGGACGAACTTATATATGGGAGCTATATCCAAATCTGAACCGATCTCGATAAAATTTAGCAAACGTATTTCTGAGCTGTATTTGCTATATTCCCCCAAATATTGTTGTTACAGAGTGCATATTACGGCTGCGGAGGACAAAAATAACAATTCGGATGAACAATATATATGGGAGCTATTGCTATATCTGAACCGATTTCTATTAAATTTGGCACACTTATTTTCAGGCCTAATTTGGTTGTATGTGCAAAATTCCATACTATTCGGGCTGATATTACATGTTTGGTGCACAATAAAAGGCAAATCGGACGAAGGTATATATATACATTTTGAGCGATTATCTTCAATTTCAATAGGTTTTGTTCTTGGGCCAAACAAATGATCTGTGCAAAATTGCATCTGGATCAGGCAATGAATGCGAACTGTACTTTGTTTACAAAAATACTTGGACAGACGGACGGACGGACATGCATAAATCGACTCAGAATGTGATTCTATGCAGATCATCAAAAGGAACTATAGCTCTATCTCGTTTCCTTCTGCCTGTTACAAACAAATGCACAAAGACATAATACCCTGACCACCTTGTGGTGTAGGGTATAAAAATGGGAAAAACTCAGCAGATTACGAAGGTAGAGGTCATTGTATCGGAGTTTTGAAAGTTTACATCACAAAGTAACCTAAAACAAGTAAAATAGTATCATTTGCCGACAGATTTATACCTCCAGCCTTGATTCCGATTCGTATCTGACCTAAGACTGATAAAAATATTACAACGTGGCAGATTTTGACTATATCGACTACTTCCTATATTTTATATGAGATATGTGGTAACAGATATCAGGGACCGAAGTATTCCATTTTCATACTTTATCTAATACAGATATAAATATTGGTATTGGTGGTATTGTTGCAGAATTTGAAGGAAATCCAACATTTATATCCAATTTTATGCGAAATCATAAATTTCATATTCATCTCAGGTTTCTGGTTGAGAGAAATATTTAGATATAGCAAAGAATCGCCGATTTGTTTCGCAAGTTAAGAGAGATATAAGTATTGGAAATTGTGACCCTTTGTGGGTGATGTACCAGGATGTGGATGTGTGAAATTTGAAGAGATTTGGATGCTTATTCCGCTTTCTTTGAGCGTTTTGTTTTTCAAAATCTTGAACCCTATGTGGGGGAGATACCAGAAGAAATGGTCCGATCTCTACCATCATTATAACTAATCTTGTGTTAATGGAAAAATTGAAATGTACCAAGTTTGAATGAATTCGGATATTAATTTCACGTTTTATGAACTCAAAATGTTGACCCTTTGCGGGGGAGGTACCAAAAGGAGTGGTCTGATATATCCCAATTTCACACCAGACCTTGGGTTAATAAAAATATTGTGATGTGTGTAATTTGAATAGAACTGGATTCGGATTTTATGATCGTTTTGGTTATTCAAAACTTTGACCCTTTGTGGGGGAGGTAACATAAGGAATGGTCCGATCTCAATCATCTTCATAACAGATCTAGTGTTTATAGAAATATTGAGATGTGTCAAGCCTGAATGGAATCTGATGTTAATTCGTGTTTCATGAGCTTCAAATTTTCTTTGATGACCATCCCTAGGTATCCTAATTTTCACACAGTGGGTCTGACCGGTATTACCCTATCCCCATGTCATAATTCCGAATATCGTAAGTTAAAGTTATATGGGGGATGTACGAAAATGTGGACCGGTGTAAATAAATTATTATCAGAGATGGAAGTGTCTATTGTCAACACCAAATACCAACTTCGAAGTTTTTCCGTTGAACAATGTTGTTAAAATCGTCAAAATACTAAATAAATACTAATTTGGCTACATTATAAATAAATCCTACAGGATTTATTTATTTTTTTTGGATGTAGTACCCATTACGAACTTCGGGGCCATAATAAAACCAGGATCAATATGAGCCATTTTCATTACCAAAAGTTCCCAGGATATTTGCCTGGGTTTTTTGGAAATTCATACTTGAAAGGTACGTAAATTATTAAAAGGTACTAAATATGGTACCCTTTGTATTCGGTAGAGCTAGAACTTTTACATTTGGAACAATGTGAACGGTTAGAGCTAAAAACATTAAATTTGAAATGGAAATCAAGGCTGAGGAGTAGGATCGATGTAAGGAGGCAGTTTTGGAGGTGTGTACTCACGTATACGAAAAGCACTAAACGTACTAAATTTAGTACAATTTGAATTTGGAGGAAAAGACGGAGCCGGAATCCTGAAATTTGAAATTAACATTACTGGCCGAATATAGGATTGAGATATGGAGGAAGTTTTCGAAATTTGTACGAAAAGTACTAAATGCTACTAAATTTGGTACAATTTCGATTTGGGTGAACCGATAGAGCTGGAATTCTGAAGTTTATAAATAAAATTACTATTGCATTCTAGGACTGAAAAATTTAGGTAGTTTAGGAAATTCGTACCTATATGTACTATATGTTTCAAAATTTCTTAGTAAATTTTGAGTGAACCAGTAGATTTGGAATCCTAAAATTTCAAATAAGACGTGGACCTGCACAGACAATTTTCTGTCAAAAACTATTCAGGTGAATAATGTCGCTAAAATCATAAAAATACCGAATATCGGGAGGTGCCGTTATATGTGGCCTATTCGAAGACGTGGACCTGCACGGACAATTTTCTGTCATAGGCTGTAGTATCCATTAGGAACTTCAAATACCAAACATTTTCTGGTGAATTTTATCGCTTAAATCACCAAAATACCGAAAATAGATAGGTACCATTATATGGGGCCTATACAAAAACATTTACCTAAATGTCCCATTTTGAATACCAAACCCCTGCAGTCATAGAATATATTTGTGTAAAATTTTATCAACTTATTCATTTAGTTCGGAAGCTAGTTTGATTTCCACAGACGGATAGACGGACGGACATCGACAAAGAATTTCTTGCTGATCAATATATATATATACTTTGTGGGGTCTGAAATGTTTATTTCGAGGTGTTATAAACGGAATGACAAACTTAATATAACCTCCATATTATGGTGGGTATTGGGCGAAGGGATAGGATTGGAATCCTCAAATTTGAAGATTTCTCTTACTATCTGGAATTAAAATATTAAATGTATATACAAACTCATTCCATACCTTCTCATATAAATTTGTGAATTGAAGAGTACTAATTTGAATCAATGTTTGAAATATATTCGAAAAATGCGTCATATAACCGCTTTTCGATTGTATATGTGCCATGTAAACATTAATAATTAAAACATTAAAAAATAACAACACTTTTGTGCCAAGATTGTGAAGGAAATCATCATTAATTCGCCGCATGTAAAAAAACCACCCTAAAAGTATGCAACACAACTGACTACAACTCACTTCATATTGCAACTTGGCAGCACTTTGTTGAACATTCATCACATGCACTTTACATATTTAACGCTTAATCGTCGAATTTCATCGCAATGGAGTTTGCTTCCATAAGGTAAACAACCTCCGATGAGAAAAACGAATCAATTTCTCAAAAATATCTCCTCACTCTTTTACAGCAAGTCCATATCCACCCTGAGTATTCACAGCGCCGTACTTACAATGATATTGCCCTGCTGGAATTGGAGCAGCCGGTGGCATTTACTGAACTAATATACCCCATATGTTTGTATTCGGATATTGCTGACCCCAAAACCGATATCCGACTATGGGTATCTGGCTGGGGGACAATAAATACAGCAAGTAAGTATTCGTAAGGGTTTTATGAGAACTTTATTAAATAATTATATGATCTCCTTTTCAGCTCGTGCCTTTTCAAATATTCTACTCAAAGCCCCCCTGTTTGTCACACCCATTGACAAATGTAATGCCAGTTTTGTCGACTATGGCTTGACACGACAAATTCAAGATGGCATTATTGATACCCAGCTGTGTGCCGAAGATAAGGATCTGATTAAGGATGCGTGTCAGGGTGATTCGGGTGGCCCATTGGTATTGGTTGTGGATGGTAAGAAAGGGAGAGAGAGGGAATTGAAGTGAGAAAATGTTAAATATTTATTTTTTTGATTTTCTCTAGAATCCCTGAAAAGTTATAAAATAGTCGGTGTGGTCTCAGCTGGATTTGGTTGCGCCAACACCACACCGGGTCTATATACCCGGGTGGCAGCATTTTTGGATTACATAGAACAAATTGTGTGGCCCAATGGTAGTGTCTGATGGAAATGTGTCTAGTACCAAAGATATATATGTAATAAAAATTAAAAAAAATAAATATTGAATTTAAGTCTTAATTTTTTAATAAGAAATAATAAAATATTTAAGTGTGATAATAATTTTCTTGTATATTTAATTGAATAAAATTTAATAAAACAATTATAAAAACATTATGTTTATCCGGGCCAAACTTTTGATACCCTCCACCTTTGGGTAAAGGAAATATTTTTATATAAAAATATCTGAATTTAAAGGTGTTCCACTTTAAACTACAAATACTTGTAAGACCGTTTGGGTAAAATAGACAAAACCAACTAACATGGTTATGCTACTTCGTTCAGGTAGAACGAAAGCATAACAAGTGGAGAAAGATGTAAATGTTTATAAGTGCGGTTGTAAGATTTAGAAGACTTTCCAAAAGATTGTTAGTTTTATTTAATTCTTTGGTTCCTCTTCTGTTGATCTTACGATCTCATCACTTGGGTAAAAAAATGTTTTTTGTCATAGAAGTTATTTTTAAAATAAATTCTGGGGAGAATGTCCCAGACAAAAAACAAAGGAACTGATGAGGATTGGTCTTTCCGTAACCTAGGTATTCCCTGCCTTACCCTCCGGTAAACATTACCGTCGTTCTCCGCTAATAACCATACCATAACGGGAACCTCTATAGATAATTTTATACTTCAAGGTTGCCATTTACCAAATCTTCTTAAATACCAAATTTAAAACAATTTCGTGGTTAAATGCGACTAGGATTATCAAAATACCGAGTATCGGTGGGTATCGTTAAATGTGGGTCTGAATTTTCAATGTCAGCCGCCGGAGCTAGAACCAATTATGAACTACAAATACCAATTTTTGGACAAATTCGTGGAAAAATGTGGTGAACATCATCAAGGTACCGAAAATCGGGTGGTACCGTTATATGGGGGCTATACAAAAACGCGGACCTATATATATATAATGTTTCGCCACCGGAGCTAGAATCCATTATGACCTACAAATACCAACTAATAGAAAAAACCGTAGAAAATGTGGCAAAAATCATCAAAATACCGAATATCGGGTTTGTTTTTAATACAAAGCATCCTAGACACAATACAAATTGTTCTACCAAATTTTGAAACTCTACGTCAAAGATTGTGGGCTGTATCGTGGTTTCAACAGAAAGACAGAAGGACAGACGGACATCGCTAAATCGACTTAGAATTTTATACTGAACAAGAATATATACTTTGTGGGGTCTACGATTAATATTTAGTGATGTTACAAACGGAATATATCCTCCACTTCAAGGTGAGGGTATAAAAATTGACACTTATTCTTATTTTAAATTTATAGATGATTAATAAGATTGCCTGAATTGACCTTTGCTATTTAAAATTAGTCTCAGTTGATTTTTTTTCTATGAAATAAATTCTTAAATTGTACAGAGTGCAACTTCAGACTGCTGTCATTTCTAAGCCACTCGTCCGACAAATGTTGAAATTATTCCAGTGACAGTTCATTATATTGTTTGCAAGCGTACAAAAGCATTTTGGAGAGAATTTTCCAGAAAAAAAAAAAAAAAACTTATTCGTGATGGAATTTAAGCGTGATAGTGTGATTTCTTTATATTTGGCAGGAAAAACCACTAGTGGCTATCCTTAGAGCACTCCAGCATTAAAATGTGAATAAATCTTTTGTGTCTCGTACTATCGCTCGTTACCGTGTTATTGGTAGCGTAGGCCGAGGTCAGGGAAGTGGACGGACAAAAACAGCAACATCAGCAGAAATGGTTCGAAAAGTAAAGAAGCGACTTCATCGAAACCCGCATCGCAGTGGCCGAAAAATGGGTCGTGAGCTAAACGCAATCGTGAGCTCGGTGTAAAACCATTAAAATTCCAAAAAAGCAAGAGAAAGAAAATAGACTCAAAAGAGCTAAAGAGTTGCTGCGCTTGGCCGAAAGTGGTGAACTGCCGAATTTGGTTTTCTCCGCTCCGAAGAGAAAACATTCGTTGTCCAGCAGTTTGTAAACAGCTGAAAATGTGCACCTTCGGTTGGCCACCAGAACTCAAGCGCCGGACATGGTGATGGTGTGGGCCACCATAACTGCCGATGGTCACTCTCCGCTCGTATTAATCGACTGTGGCATAAGAATAAATGCCGAATATTATAGCGAAAATATTCTGGAGGGTGTATTAAAGCCTCGGACACGCAAATATTTTGCCCGCAGACCTTGGACATTCCAACAGGACCAAGCACCATCGCCCTCAGCACACGTCATCCATGAATGGTTACAAAATGAGGTTCCTCGCTTCAATTCCAGCGCACAATGGCCACCAAAATCTGCGGATACCAATCCGTTGGACTATTGTGTATGGAGTATTTCGGAAAGCAAGGTTGGCACTAAAAAATACCAAAGTATTGAAAACCTCAAGCAAGCGCTTCACCGGGAACGGGCCAAAATACCGCAGAGCAACATTCGGGCAGTGTGTGACGGTTTCATTGGCCGTTTGAAGGCCATAATTCGTGCCAAAGTTGACCAATTTGAACAAATCTAAATTTATTCTAGAATTTGATGCTATTTCCGACATTTTTTGCTTTCATTGAATAAAATTAAATAACAAATGCAAAAATTATGGCGTTTGACTTTGTTGCAGTTTTTTTTATCTCAAACTGTATTTGCACCAGTGTTGGGACAATATCGAACGACTTCATCAAGTACCTCCCCCACAACGGGTCAAAATTATGAATAATCATAACTCTTATGTAAGTGCCACATTGTTTTCAAATTACACACATCACAATTTTTTTTATTAATCCAAGGTCTGGTGTGAAGATGGAATAAATCGGTCCACTCCTTCTGGTATCTCCCCCACAAAGGGTCAAAATATTCAATTTCCATGAAACTCATAAAACACGAAATTAACATCCGATTCCATTTAGACTTGGTACATCTAAATATTTCCATTAACACATGGACTGCTATAAAGAGATCCGACCACTTCTTCTGGTACCTCCCTCACCAAGGGTCAAAGTTTTGAACAACCAAAACGATTTTAAAATGCGAAATAAGCATCTGGTTCTCTTCACATTTCACACATCCCATTATTTCTCTAACACCAGATCCAGATGGGATATATCGCTCTACTCCTTCTGGTATCTCCCCCACAAAGGGTCAAATTTTTGAATCCCCATGAATCTCATAAGACACGAAATTAACATCTGAATCCATTCAGACCTGGTACATCTCAATATTTTCATCAACCCTAGATCTGTTATAAAGATAGTATAGATCGGACTATTTCTTCTGGTACATCCCCCAAATAGGATTCAAAATTTTTGAAATATAAAACGCTCAAAGAATGTTAGCATCAAATTTCACACTCCCTTTCCTTTGGAACCTACTCCATAGAGGGTCAACAATTTGAATAATCATAACAGAAGTCAAAATATATTCAAATAATCGAACATTGACAGAAGGCAGTTAAATTGATTATTTTTTACATTCTTTATATTTTTTTTTTTCGTTTTTGTTTTTATTTTCAGAAAGTCCATCTCCACAACGATTACAGATCATCGCGCACATACAACGATATAGCCGTAATAGAATTACAACGGCCGGTGACCTATACGGAGAACATATATCCTATATGTTTGAACAACGATGAAAGGGATCCCCAGGGTTCGGCCTTTGTTACCGGTTGGGGTTTTACAGATTCTAAGAGTAGGTTGATTAAAATCAAGAAATTTAAAAAAATTGGAATTTCATTATTTTACATTTTTTGGAATAGCCAAGACAACATCTTCGGTTTTATTGAGCGCTGTATTGGAGATTGTTCCGTTGCATCTTTGTCGCAGGGCATTCCAGGATCATGATTTGCGTGGCATTCGAGAGGGCATTCTAGATACCCAGTTGTGTGCTCATGATGCTAATCAAGTGAAGGATTCCTGCAAGGGTGATTCGGGAGGGCCACTGATTTTGGCACTGGATTGTAAGTGGCGCCGAATTTTTTTATGGAGTTGTAATTTTTTAATAATTTTGTTTTCATTATTTTTTCTAGTAACCATAAAATATTATAGCTTGATTGGCGTTGTGTCGGCCGGAGAAGATTGTGCCAGCCACACTCCAGGTCTTTACACAAGAGTGGCTTCGTATTTGGATTATATCGAAAGTATTGTGTGGCCAAATGGTTTCAATTAAATCAAATGTAAAGGAAATGAAGTAATCTCGAAAAAAACTATATTTAACTTTTAAGTGATACAAGTGTCGATCAAAATACAAAAAACATTTTTAAAATTTTTGTTTTTATTTTACACTGAAATGTACCTCCGAATTATCCGGCGTCTGCACGTGAAATGAACTTGCAGTACGCCACAAAACTATTTTTACCGAGGGCTCTTATATCGACTACAAATGATATATACCCTTTATGAGGTTACGAGAAATCTCTCAAAGGCATGTGTAGATTTTTTCCAAAATAATTTTAGAAAATTTCGAAAAAAAAAATCTGCCGAAAAATCACCCGTGTATCAATTATAAATAAAAATAATAAATAAAATTCAATAAAAACGTGGTTTGCAACTAAGTACTACACACTTGCTTCGCTTCTCCTAATTTATTTAACTTTTCTTACGCATTATAAATAACAAGCACCTCACAGGTTATGTGACAAATGCGGCACCATCATCTAGGGATTACACCGAAACGCCGAAAGATATACTGTATCGAGTTCATGTATTCAATGCTAACCACCGAAATACTAAATATACTTTGGGACAAAATTCAGCATTTCAAAATTACAAGAAAACCCGAGTAGATTTTAAAAGAAGAGGTAAAAATATGGCGTTTGGAAAAAAAATTAACTGCGGAACGTAACCCAGCCCCTTTTTTAATATTTAAAAACATTCCAGATTTCTTTGGAAACCAGGCATTTTATGTTTACAGCATCTTCTGTAATATTACTGGCAAATACAGGCATAGGTAATACAAATTAATACTTAGTCGAGCCATTAAAGGGGTCTTTTGGGCCTTTTCAAAAAACTTTCAAAAGCTCCCCTAAGATATGATGGTATCAGATCAATATACTTTATAGAATTATTCTTCACAAAATTGGCCTTAGAATACACTGAAACTCCAAGGCTTATCTATAGACCACAAATCAATAAAAACGAAAACCCGGTTTTAGGGTTAAAGTCGCACCCCAGCTGAGTTTATGCAAAATATTTTAAAGGGTTTGGAAATTTTTTTTTTCGAAATGGTTCCGTTTATTTTCGAATTTGAAAGTACACTTCATGAGGTTAATAGTAGAAAATCTCGGCCATGATGTAGCCTCGGCCCCAATGTTACCAATGTCCTCCTTATCAATTTTTGTGAAAAAAAAAATCCGTTCAACATGGCCCGATAATGTAAGGGCCACTCCTTGCTCATTTTTCGACCTCTGAATAAATCTTTTCTGTGTCTCGGACCATCGCTCGTTATCGTGATAATGGTAGCGTAGCACGACATCAAGGAAGTGGACGGAAGAAAACAGCAACATCAGCAGAAATGGTTCGAAAAGTAAAGAAACGACTTGATCGAAACCCGCGTCGCAGTTGCCGAAAAATGGCTCGTGAGCTGAACATATCGCAATATTCCATTCGGCAAATAATGAAAAATGATCTCGTGGTAAAGCCATTGAAATTCCAAAAAGTGCAAGAACTTACACCGCAACAGAAAGAAAATTGACTCAAAAGAGCTAAAGAGTTGCTTCGCTTGGCCGAAAGTGGTGAACTGCCGAATTTGGTTTTCTCCGCTCCGATGAGAAAACATTCGTTGTCCAGCAGTTTGTAAACAAACTAAATGATCGTGTTTACTACTTGCCAAAGAGGTCAGCTGAAAATGTGCACCTTCGGTTGGCCACCAGAACTCAAGCGCTGGCCATGATAACGGTGTGGGCCGCCATAACAGCCGATGGTCGCTCTCCGCCCGTATTAATCGACCGTGGCATCAGAATAAATACAGAATATTATTGCAAAAATATGCTGGAGGGAGTATTAAAGCATAGGGCACGCAAACATTTTGGCCGGAGATCTTGAACATTGCAATAGGACTCAGCACCATCGCACTCAGCACGCGCCACCCAAGAATGGTAACAAAATGAGGTTCCACGCTTCATTTCCAGCTCACAATGGCCACCAAAATCTCCGGATACCAATCCTTTGGACTATTGTATCTAGAGTATTTCGGAAAGTAAGGTTGGCACTAAAAAATACCTAAGAGTCGATCACCTTAAGCAAGCGCTTCTCCGGAGATGGGCCAAAATACCGCAGAGCAACATTCAGGCAGCGTGTGATGGTTTCATTGGCCGTTTGGAGACCATAATTCGTGCCAAAGGTGACCAATTCAAACAAATCTAAACTTATTCTAAAATTTGATGCCATTTCCGACATTTTTGCTTTCACTCAATTAACTTTAAAAAAAAGTAAAAAGCTGTAAGCCGGGCCGAACCTTGAATACCCTCCACCATTTGGAACGAATTTGGCAATTCTCAAAAACAATAAAATCCGTTAAAAATTCTGTTAAGATCTTAAAAATACCGAATGTAGCTGTTACATTAGGGTCTATACGATGACATGGACCTGCATAGGTAACTTTTGTCATAAGTAATTAAAATATTCAAATGCGAAACTTTAAAAAAAATCGGTGAATAATGTAGCAAAAATCATCAAAATATAGAATATCGGGAGGTACCGTTATATGGGGGCTATAGGAAGACGTGGACCTGCACAGACAATTTTCTGTCTTAGGCTGTAGTATCCATTACGAACTTCAAATATCAGATTCGAACAATTCTGGTGAAAAATGTTCTTAAAATCATTAAAATGCCGAACATCGAGAGGTACCGTTATATGGGGCTCTACGAAGAGGTGGACGTGCACAGACAATTTTCTGTCTAAAATCAAAAAAGTACCGAATATCGGAAGATTCAGTTATATGGGGACTATATGAAGATGTGAACCTGCACAGACAATGTTCTGTCTGTAGTATCCACTAGGAACATAAAATAGCAAATTTGAGAGAATTCCGGTGAATAATGTCGCTAAAATTAACAAAGCACCGAATATCGGGAGGTACAGTTATATGGGCGCTATACGAAGACGTGGACCTGCACAGAGAATTTTCTATCATAGGCTGTAGTATCCATTTCGAACTTCAAATAACTCATTTGAAACAATTCCGGTGACTAATGTCGCTAAAATCATCAAAATACCGAATATCGGGCGGTACCGTTATATGAAGGCTATACCAAAATTTGGACCTACATGGCCCATTTTCAATACCAAAAGTCCTGCAGACATAATATACATTTGAGCAAAATTTTATCAATCTACTTCAATTTCTTCGGAAGCTAGAGTGATTTCCACAGACGGACAGACGGGCGGACATCGCAAAATCGACAAACGGAATGACAAACCTAATACACCCTTCATACTATGGTGGAGGTATAAAAATGTAAAAATTATGGCGTTTGTTTGTTTGTTGCAGTTTCTTATTTCACCCTGTACTAATGTCTGTAATACCATAAAAATACCGAATATTGGGAGGTACCGTTATATATAAGGGCTATGTGAAGGCGTGAACCTGCATAAGTAATTTTTTGACGAACGGTAGAAAAATGCTTGTTTTCCGATAATCATTTATAATTTCCTATTTAGAGCATAACCTGGAAATCTCCCCATGTATTTTTAGAACAATAATGGCAAGATCCCATAAATAAACACCAATAAACTGGTTCGTTTTTTTTTCTCTTCTCTTTTGGAGAGTGATAGTGATCGCATTGGTAACGTCATATTGAGAGAGCAGAATCCCACGACTTCATTGCGAGGTAGAATATAACAATAAGTCTTTTTCAACATTACAACTTGTTGTAAAAGTATAGAGAGATTCCTTTTTTTTTCGTGGAACTCTTATCAGTTGGGGGAAAAATGCTGGCAACCTTATTTTCTTCGCAACGACATAGTTCACGGCGAAACAAGAAAAACAAAAATCTGCATTATTTTATACTCTTACGGAGCAATGTAGCTGAAATTTGAATGGCAAAAGTAACCATAGAGAAACCTAGTGGCTAGATTTCAGCACATTTTTCCACGACCAAAAAGGTCAATAGTCCTTGATCTTTTTTTGATTGTTTCTAAATACATTGTATTCTTTATTATAATTTTTATTTATTTATAAATATTTATTTTTTTTAGAAATTATATCATTGCTGATTCTGGGTTATCTTTTCCCAATTAGTTTTTGTTTGACAGCTTTAAAATACTAGCTCTGATCATCAGCTGAGCGCTGATTCAGCTGTGAGATTTGAATGGACGTAAACAACAGATTTTGTGTTGCCCAGCATGCGGCCGGTATAAGTTGAAATCATCAGGCGGAGTCAGTTGAGTGAGAGACGTGTTTGAGAGTGGTGGTGGTGATCGTACTCGTATTCCGTCTTACGAGCTATGAGTGCCGGTTATAAATCAAGAAACAAATCCCAATAAAAAAAAATAACAACAAACGTAATTTATTTTCAACGTTTTTTTGGTTTGGGATTTTTTGTTTTGATCGGGTCGTTTGTGTATATAAATTTATTTATATATTTTTTTTATATATAAAAACAAATCACTTGTCTGTAAATAATTGAATGTTTACAGCTAATGTTTTTATTTTTTTTTTTTTGTGAACACCTCCGCTTGTCTCGTTTAGTTGTAGAAATGTATACAAAAATGCAAGGTATTCGCTTTGGACGAGGGATATTATCAGTTTCGACCTCCCTGATCCTGAGTACTATAATCATACTGCATATACACATTCCCGGTGGCGCAGCAGCATATGGTAAGTACACAGTGGTTTTATAACCTACACCATTTGTTTTCAACATAGAGAAGGAAGCGAGACAGACCCATAGTCACATTTGAGAATCTTCATAGAATCACTTTTTGAGTCGAATTATGCATGCCAGTCCATTTATTATTCGATTGCGATGAAATTTTTCACACAATATTTGTTTGGCCCAAAGATGGACCCTATTGAAATTGGTGGAAATCGGTTCAAATTTAGATACAGGGTGAGATGAAGAAAATGCAACCAACTTCAGACTGTAGTCATTTCTATTCTAGTGAAAGCTCATTATATTGTTTAAAAGCGTACAAAAGCATTTTTGGTGAGAATTTTGTAAAAAAAAAGTTATTCGTGACGGAATTCATGCGTGATAGTGAGATTTTTTATATTTGGCTGGAAACCCACAAGTGGCTATCATTAGAGCACACATGTGAATAAATCTTTTGTGTGGTAGCGTAGCCCGACGTCAAGGAAGTGGACGGAAAAAAACAGCAACATCAGCAGAAATGGTTGATCGAAACCCGCATCGCAGTGGCCGAAAAATGGCTTGTGAGCTGAAAGATCAAATCGGGGTAAAGCCACTGAAATTCCAAAAAGTGCAAGAACTTACACAGCAACAAAAAGAAAATAGGCTCTAGAGAGCTAAAGAGTTGCTTCGCTTAGCCGAAAGTGGTGAACTGCCGAATTTGGTTTTCTCCGCTCCGATGAGAAAACATCGTTGTCCAACAGGTTTGATCATGTTTACTTGTCAAAGAGGTCAGCTGAAAATGTGAACCTTCGGTTGGCCACCAGAACTCAAACGCCGGCCATGGTGATGGTGTGGGCCGCCATAACAGCCGATGGTCGCTTTCCGCTCATATTAATCGACTGTGGAATCAGAATTAATACGAAATATTATCGTGAAAATATTCTGGAGGGTGCATTAAAGCTTTGGGCACGCAAACATTTTGGCCGCATACCTTGGACATTTCAACAGGACTCAGCACCATCGCACTCAGCAAGTGCCACTCAAGAAGGGTTAGAAAATGAGGTTACTCGCTTCATTTCCAGCGCACAATAGCCATCAAAATCTCCGGATACCAATCCGTATTGTGTCTGGAGTATTTTGGAAAGCAAGGTTGGCACTAAATAATACCAAAGTGTCGATCACCTCAAGCAAGCGCTTCGCCGGGAATGGGCCAAAATACCGCAGAACAACATTCAGGCAGCGTTTGACGGTTTCATTGGCCGTTTGAAGGCCATAATTCGTGCTAAAGGTGACCAATTCGAACAAATCTAAACTAATTCTAAAATTTGATGCTATATCCGATATTTTTTGCTTTCATTTAATAAAATTTAAAAAAATATTTCAAAATTATGGCGTTTGACTTTGTTGCAGTTTTTTTTTCATCTCACCCTGTATATGTTTCATTTGGTCTTTAAGTCCCTCACATTCGTAATATACACCCCACTAGAATGATATTTTATACCAGATATCAGATGCAGCCCAGAAATACATCTGCCAAATTTTATCAAGATCGGTTCAGATTTGGATATAGCTTCCATATATATCTTCAACCGATTTCGGGTTCATTGTACACTAAATGGCCAATATCAGCCAAAACAACATGAATTTTGGTACATCCGACCGAATTCAGTCTAGAAGCAAAAACATCAAATTTGGAGAAAATCGGTTCAAATATAGCTATAGCTTCCATATATATGTTTCATCCGATTTGGAGTTTTAAGTAAGCGTAATTTGCACTCTAGAACAATGATATTTGGTACCAAATGTCAGATACATCCCAGAAAGACCTCTGCCAAATTTTCAAGATCGGTTCAGATTTGGATATAGCTCCCATATATAACATCCACCGATTTCGGGTTACTTGCGCGCCAAAAATCCAATATCAGTCCAAATGACCTACAATTTTTGTATATCCGACATAATTTAGTCTAGAAGCAAGTACACCAAATTTGGTGAAAATCGGATCACGGTATCGAGCGATGGTCCGAGACACAAGAGGTTTATTCACATTTAAATGCTGGAGTGCTCTAACGATTGCCACTTGTGGTTTTCCACCCAAATATAAAGAAATCTCACTTTCACGCTTAAATTCCATCACGAATAACTTTTTTTTGGAAAATTCAAAACAATTTGCTTTTGCAGGCTTGTAAACAATATAATGAACTGTCACTGGAATAATTTTAACAGCTGTCGGACGAGTGACTTGGAAATGACAGTAGTCTGAAGTTGGGGGCAGTTTTCTCATGTTTCATCCGATTTGGTCTTTAAGTCCCTCACATTCGTAATATTCACTCCACTAGAATGATATATGGTTCCAGATATCAGATATAGACCAGAAATACCTCTGCCAAATATTATTTTTTTATTCGGTTCAGATTTGGATATAGCTGTCATATATACCATCAAACGATTTCGGGTTAATTGTGCGCCAAAAGACTAATATCAGTTCAAATTACCTGAATTTTGGTACATCCGACCGAATTCAGTCTAGGAGCATGTACATCAAATTTGGTGAAAATCGATTCAGATATAGCCATAGCTCCCATATATATGTCTCATCGGATATGGAGTTTAATGTCCCTCACATACATAATATGCATTCGCAACAGTGATATGTGGTACCAGATATCTTATAGAGCTTGGAATTACCATTGCCAAATTTTGTCGAGATGGGCGAAGATTTGGATATAGCTTCCATATAAAACCTTAATGCGATTTCAGGTTTATTGTGCAAATAATGGCTAATATCAGCCCAAATGGAGTGCATTTCGGGACGTACATTTCCATTTGGTGGCACTTGGCTCCGATATACATTTTTTTAATATAATCCTTCTCGAAGTGATATTATGCCCTCCATAGCAATGCTATTTGGTATAAAAGATAAAAATCTCTATGTCAAATTTTGTGAAAATCGATTCAGAATTGGATATGCCTCCCATATAGTAGTTCCCTCTTAAACCAAACTATAACTCCTCTAAAGCCAAATATTGATAGGTGGTATGATCTACTTCAAATAAACCTATTTGTTACGGGAGCTCTACTAAATATGCATAGTGGTGTAAGATATCACATAGTCGGCCCTGCCCGACTTGTGACTTTTCCTTATTGGTTTTTTCTTCTCCCTGTTCTTATGACAATATTTCTTTTTTTTTCTTCAGAAAATGATCCCTGCCTAACGAAAAATTCCACCGGTATTTGTAAAACTTGGTCAGATTGCCCCATAATGCGAACACTGAGGCAACAAAAAATCTACACAATCTATGACGTAGTTAGATGTGGTTTTGGAATCTATGAGGAATTGATTTGTTGCCCGATTCTTAGAACTGAAATGCGTTTCATGGAAGTACCAGCCACAACAACAACACCAACATCAACGACAACAACCACAACAACACTAAGATCAACAACGGAAGGAAATAGGTAACTAGGTCTATCGAAACTAAGAATAAATTTAAAATAAAATAAATTTAAATAATTTAAAAAGCATCAATCGGTTTTGCCGACAAGTGTACAGGGTGAGATGAAAAAACTGCAACCAATTTAATACTGCTGTCATTTCTAAGCCACTCGTCCGACAGCGGTTAAAATTATTTCAGTGACAGTTCATTATATTGTTTACAAGCGTACAACAGTATTTTGGTGAGAATTGTCCAGAAAATAAGTTATTCGTGATGGAATTCAAGCGTGATAGGTGTGATATCTTTATATGTGACTGGAAAACCACAAGTGGCCATCGTTAGAGCACTCCAGCATTTTAATGTGAATAAATCTTTTGTGTTTCGTACCGTCGTTCGTGTATGGCCCGTGAGCCAGACGTCAAGGAAGTGGACGGAAGAAAACAGCAACATCAGCAGAAATGGTTCGAAAAGTAAAGAAGCGACTGGATCGAAACCCGCAGAAACGTCGCAGTGGCCGAAAAATGGCTTGTGAGCTAAACATATCTCAATATTCCATTCTGTAAATATTGAAAAATGAGCTCGGGGTAAAGCCCTTGAAATTCCAAAAAGTGCAAGAACTTACACCCCAACAGGAAGAAAAAAGGCTCAAAATAGCTAAAGAGTTGCTTCGCTTGGCCGAAAGTGGTGAATTGCCGAATTTGGTTTCCTCCGCTCCGATGAGAAAACATTCGTTGTCCAGCAGTTTGTAAACAAACAAAATGATCGTGTTTACTACTTGCCAAAGAGGTCAGCTGAAAATGTGCACCTTCGGTTGGCCACCAGAACTCAAGCGCCGGCCATGGTGATGGTGTGGGCTGCCATAACAACCGGTGGTCGCTCTTCGCTCGTATTAATCGACCGTGGCATCAGAATAAATGCCGAATATTATCGCGAAAATATTCTGGAGGGTGTATTAAAGCTTTGGACACGAAAACATTTTGGCCGCATACCTTGGACATTCAAACAGGACTCAGCACAATCGCACTCAGCACGCGCCACCCAAGAATGCTTACAAAATGAGGTTCCTCGTTTCATTTCCAGCGCACAATGGCCACCACCAAAATCTCCGGATACCAATATGTTGGACTATTGTGTCTGGAGTATTTTGGAAAGCAAGGTTGGCACTAAATATCAAAGTGTCGATCACCTCAAGCAAGCGTTCGCCGGGAATGGGCCAAAATATCGCAGAGCAACATTCGGGCAGCGTGTGGCGGTTTCATTGGCCGTTTGAAGGACATAATTCGTGCCAAAAGTGAACAATTCGAACAAATCCGAACGTATTCTAAAATTTAATGCCATTTCCGATATTTTTTGCTTTCATTCAAGAAAATTAAAAAGAAAGATGTAAAAATTATGGCGTCTGACTTTGTTGCTGTTTTTTTTATCTCTCCCTGTATTCTTTTTGACTTAGACTTAATGGATAAAATTGAAGAAATCTTCCACACTTCCCGTAGTTTTTATACTCTACACCACAAGGTGGTCAGGGTATTATGTCTTTGTGCATTTGTTTGTAACAGGCAAAAGGAAACGAGATAGACCCATAGTTCCTTTTGATGATCTGCATAGAATCACATTCTAAATCGATTTATGCATGTCCGTCCGTCCGTCAGTCCGTCTGTCCATGTATTTTTGTAAACAAAGTACAGTTCGCATTTATTGCCCCATCCAGATGAAATTTTGCACAAATCATTTGTTTGGCGCAAGGACGAACCCTATTCAAATTGGAGATAATCGGTCAAAATTTAGATATAGCTCCCATATATATCTTCGTCCGATTTGCTTGTATTGTGCACCAAACGTGTAATATTAGCCCGAATAGTATGAAATTTTGCACATACAACCAAATTAGGCCTGAAAATAAGTATGCCAAATTTGATCGAAATCGGTTCAGATATAGCTATAGCTGCCATATATATTGTTCATCCGATTTGTTATTTTTGTCCTCCGATGCCGTAATATGCACTCTGTAACAACAATATTTGGTATTGTATATATATCAAATGCAGCTCAGAAATACCTTTGCTAAATTTTATCGAGATCGGTTCAGATTTGGATATAGCTCCCATATATAACTTCGTCCGATTTACCTTTGATTGTGCACCAAACGTCTAATATTTGCCCAAATTGGAGGAAATTTGGCACTTACGACCGAATTGAGTCTAGAAGCTAGTATGTCAAATTTGGTGAAGATCGGTTCAGATATAGTTATAGCTCCCATATATAATGTTCATCCGATTTCTTGTATTTGTTACCCACAGCCGTAATATGCACTCCGTAACAACGATATTCAGGAAAATATATCAAATACAGCTCAGAAATATCTTTGCCAAATTTTATCGAGATCGGTTCCGATTTGGATATAGCTCCCATATATATCTTTATCCGATTTCAAATTAATTGTGCACCAAATGGGCAATACAAGTCCGAATTTAAAAGATACAAGTGCTTCGGCATATTTAGTCCTTTGAACTTTAAATTATAATAATAATCATAGCGTGTATGATTGAATTCTCCCACAAAAACTTTTAATTGTTATGTGGAGCTCTACTAAATTAGCAAATTGGTGTAGGGTATCATAATCTTCAACAATTTTAAATCATTATTTCTTCGTAAATACATTCTTTCCTAAATACATATTCACAATTAACCTCCAACTCATTATTACAGAGAACGAGGCCATAGGGAAGGTAGAACGGATACAATTACTTTTAGCCATAATATCAGGATTTCAACAAATATTGCCAACACTTCCAAGACGCCAACTGAAAGAAACCAAATTAACACAGCGATGCCAAATCGTTTGAATTCGAATACAGGAAATGCCAGACAGAAAGCGGATTCCGTGGAGATGTTATGGGAACGCCTTTTACAGAGTGAAAAACAAAAATCGCAACAACAAAAGCAAATGGAACGTTTAGTCGTCCCCGTAGAGGATGCATCCTCCAAAGAGAGGCCAGCCGTTAGAGGTGAATACTCTTGGCTTTTTATCAATATTATTATTTTATGATTTGTATGTTTTTAATTTAAGCATGTCGCCGCTTACAGGCCGGCCGTAAACCCAGCCTGTCTGAACACATTTTAAATGGCATACCCGCCGAATTGGGTGAGTTTCCCCATTTGGCAGCCATCGGTTACAGCCGTAACGACAGTCGTGGTGGTTTCAACATCTTCTGTGGTGGCAGTTTAATCGAATCCCGTTTTGTCTTGACGGCAGCCCATTGCGTTGCAAGAACAGATATAGTTCCGGATTTTGTATTCCTCGGTGTGGCAAATTTCTCAAATCCCGAGGAAATGCAACAGGCGGTGAAAGTGAATATTAAGGTAAGATACGGAAGATCTTCAAAAATGTATTCTGTGGGGAATGGATGAAAGGCTCCTTACAATACCTGTCATATAGACTGGGAGACCTTTAAAAACACGTTCTCCCTCAGCCATTTGGTCCAGGCTCCATAGGGTATATATCTATTGTTACGGCCAAAACGTGCCATTAGACCTTTAAAAATACTTTCTTTATACCCTCAGCCATATGCTCCCGGCTCCATAGGGTATATATCACTTGGTACGGCCAAAACGTGTCTCATCAAAGACCCTAGGTCTCTTTGGACCAAATCCGTTTCAGGACATTTGGAGTCGATCTAGGGGTGTCTGCCCGCCCGTCTGTCATTTTGTGCAAACTTTGAAAATCACAATATTTACTTCAGTGCTAGGACAGGTGCGAAAATGGAATATATCGGCCCACTCCATGAAGTACTTCCCACACAAAGGGTCATAATTTGAAATAATTATAACTCTTATAAAATGTGAAATAAGAGTTCGATTGTCTTCAAATTTAGCACATTCCAATATTTCAGCCAACACAAGTTCTGGTGTGAAAACGGAATTTTGCAGATCACCCCTTCTGGAACCCCTCTCACAACGGGTCACTATTTTGAATAATTAGAACTCTCATGAAATGGGAAATAAGAATCCAATTGTCTTCAAATTTCACATATCCGATTATTTTTATTGACACAAGATCTGGTGTGAAGGTAGGATATATCGTTAGGATATATCCTTCTGGGTACCTCTTCTTAAACGGGAAAAAATTAAAAAGTTTTTAGAATCATAACCGATTTTCCCTTTATGATATCGAAAACAAATTAAAATACAGCCAGGTTGGAAGAAACTTCAAAAATAACTAAAAAAAATTTCGTAGCAAAATACCGCTCAAATGAATATTGAATGAAAGCAAAAAATGTCGGGAATAGCATCAAGTTTTAGAATAAGTTTAGATTTGTTCGAATTGGTCACCTTTGCCACGAATTATGCCCTTTATACGGCCAATGAAACCGTCACACGCTGCTCGAATGTTGCTCTGCGGCATCTTGACCCATTCCCGGCGAAGCGCTTTCTTGAGGTGATCGACACTTTGGTATTTTTAGTGCCAACATTGCTTTCCAAAATACTCCAGACAAAATAGTGGCCATTGTGCGCTGGAAATGAAGCGAGAACCTCATTTTGTAACCATTCTTGGGTGGCACATGCTGAGTCCTGTTGGTATGCCCAAGGTCTGCGGCCAAAATGTTTGCGTGCCCACGGCTTTATTGCACTCCAGAATATTTTCGCGATAATAATCGTCATTTATTCTGATGCCATGGTCGATTAATACGAGCGGAGAGCGACCATCGGCTTTTATGGTGGCCCACACCATCAGTATTGCCGGCGCTTGAGTTCTGTTGGCCAACCGAAGGTGCACATCTTCAGCTGACCTCTTTTGCAAGTAAACACGAACACGATCATTTTGTTTTGTTTACAAATTGCTGGACAAGTAATGTTTTCTCATCGGAGAAACACAAATTCGGCAGTTCACCACTTTCGGCCAAACGAAGCAACTCTTTAGCTCTTTTGAGTCTATTTTTTTTCTGCTGCGGCGTAAGTTCTTCAATTTTTGGAATTTCAATGGCTTTACCCCGAGCTCATCTTTCAATATTTGCCGAATGGAATATTGCGATATGTTCAGCTCACGAGCCATTTTTTGGTCACAGCGACGTTTCTGCAGGCTTCGATCCAGTCGCTTCTTTACTTTTCGAACCATTTCTGCTTTTGTTGCTGTTTTCTTCCGTCCACTTCATTGACGTCGGGCTACGCTACCAGTGTCACGGAAATGAGCGATGGTACGAGATGCAAAAGATTTATTCCCATTTAAAGGCTAGAGTGCTCTAACGAAAGCCACTTGTGGTTTTCCATCCAAATATAAAAAAATCGCACTGTCACCCTTGAATTCCATCACGAATAACTTTTTTTCTGGAGAATTCTCACCAAAGTGCTTTTGTACGCTTGTAAACCATATAATCAGCTTTCACTAGAATGATTTTATCCGCTGTCGGACGAGTGGCTGAGAAATGACAGCAGTCTGAATTCGGTTGTCGTTTTTTCATCTAACCCTGTATATGGTCCTGCATAAATAATTTTTTGCCATAGGCTGTAGTACATATTCTGAACCTCAAATACGAAATTCTAAACAATTCTTGTGAATAATGTCGCCAAAGTCATCAAACTGCTGAATATCGTGAGGTATCCTTATATGGGGGCTATACGAACATGTGGACCTGCATAAGTTATTTTTTGTCAGAGGCTGTAGTACCCATTAAAAACTTTAAATACGAAATTTGAAACAATTCCATTGAAAAATGTGGCTAAATTCATCAAAATATCGAATATCGGGGGGTATCGTTGTATGGGGGTTTTATGATACCTTAGGCCTATATAGACTATTTTCTTTAAGGGGGTAAAGTACATCAATAAAATCCTTGCGTAGAATTTCAAACGATTCCATTGAAAAATGTGGCATATCGAGGAGTACCGTTATATGGGGGTTACTCGACATCGTGAACCTATATAGCCCATCTTCGAACTTTACAAATAACAGATCTGTGCAAAAAAATTTTAGCATCCTATTTTAACTCGTTTTGGATTTGATTACAACAGGGCATGGCTAGAATCGTCTTAGAATTTCACGCTGATCAAAAATATATATTCTTTGTGTGGTCTAAAATTATTATTATTATACAAACGGAATGGTGAACTTCATATACTCTCCAGACTATGTATGGTGGAGGGGATAAAAAATCATGAAAGTCGGTTATTTTTGTAACAAACAAGAGCTAAGCCATCAGTCTTCTCAGTTTATAAAATAACACAACTTACCTTAGCTTTGAAACACCATCACTCCATTCAACAAGGCGTTGTTTTTTTTACGCAAACCACACACAAACAACGACTTAGCAGTAGCAGAGAAGGAAACACGTGCATCGAAGTCGACGTCAACCGAGCGGAGACAAACTGAACAACACAAATTGCCTCTCTCGTGAGTAAGAGAATTGGGCAAAACAAAAACGTAAACAAACACATAAAATCGACAATGAAAGCCGGCATCAAATTTGATCGAAAATAAAGATTATATTTATTATTAATTCCGTGGAATATTTTAAAATTAAATTAATTTATCTTTTACAATTTAATTTTTACTTAACACGACACGTTTCTTAGACACAACAATTAATCGAAACTTGCACGAATTCGTAAAACAATTGCCACGAAAGAAAACCACAGCCGATTGCAATGAAGACAGGAAACAAACTAATTGTGGGCAAATAAAACAATGTTGCCAATTTGAATTTTTTGTGAGAAGAGCATATGGATTAAGCTCTCTCGCGAATAAGAGAAATGAGGCATACAAAATCACAAACACATAAAATATGCAAACAAATTTGATCGAAAGAAAATAATTTTCTTTGATTATATAAATGGATTATTTGAACATACGATTCAGAAAAATGTTCCAATTGAACTTTTTTTTAAAACTTCACGTTTCTTATTGCCACAAATTAACCGAAACACTCACGAATTTGCGAAACAAATGCCATAAAATAAATTCACAACCGATTGCAATGAAGACAGGAAACAAACTAATTGAGGGCAAAGAAAACAATGTTGCCAATCATTATTTTTTGTGGGACCAGAGGAGGCAAACCGAATTAGCTCTCTCGCGAGTAAGAGAAACAAACACATAAAATAACCAACGAAAGCCGGCATCCAATTTTGGCGGAAACTAAGGGATTTTCTTTTATTTTTTCACTTAAACCTTTCAAGACAAAATTCACAAAATATTTTAATTTAACCTTTTTTACACTACGCGTTTGTTAACATCAAAAACTCAACGATACTCGCGAAACAATTCAAAACGCGAAACAATTGCCACAAAAGAAATTCACAACCGATTGCAAAGACGTTAAGAAATAGACTAAATATAAACATAAAGCAATGTTGCCAATGTACATTTTTGGGTCCCAAACCTAGCCTTCCTATTTTCAGTATTTTGATGATTTTCGTGACAATATTCACCGGAATCGTTTAATTTTTGTGGGTCCATGTCTGCACATAGCCTCAATTTTTAAGATTTTTACGACTTATTTTACCCGAATTGTTTCAAATTTCGTACTTAAAGTTCGAAATGGGTACTACAGCCTATGGCAAAATATGTGTATGCTGATCCACGTCTTCGTATAGCCCCCATATACGGTTACTCCCGATATTCGGTATTTTGATGATTTTAATGATATTATTCGCCGAAATTGATTCAAATATCGTGCTCGAATATGCATATACAGGTTCATGTCTACATATGGGTCCCAATATAATGGTATGACAAAATATTATGTACGCACGTTCACGTCTTCGTATATCCTCGGTATTTTGATGATTTTTGCGACATTATTTATCGGAATTATTTGAAACTTTTGCTTTCCCTCAAAATGGTGTAGAATTAAAGGTTCGGCCTGACCGAACTTTGGCCAACTTGATAAGCTAGAGATTTTTTTTTTATCAAAACTCCATTCATGGTACTAAAATTGTAGACTTTTAAGGTTTTATATAACATTCAAGTTTTCCCTTTTTCGGCAAGAATAATAGGAAAATGCTTCAAATGTGTGAATGTCTTTTACACCAAAAAGTGTTTAAAATCTTTCAATCTGAAGTTTCTCGAGGAGGATATTAGTAAAACCATTGCCCAATAGTTTCTGTCCAGAACTATTTCACAGCCGCTAGAAAACCTAGAAACCATCAGTGTCCTCAATATTAAATTTCAAAATGTCTGCTTCATTCCGTAATCCAATACCAAATTTAGTAACATTTATTGTGTATTTCCAAAAAAATCTACATATCTCCATGCTAGAAATCAGCAGTAATCGAAAATTAGTTGCATTTAGTACTTTTCGCACGCAATTGCAAAACCAGATCTTAAAACTTGATGCCATCAGGGACTCCAATTACAAATTTTAAGCTCAATACCAAATATAGTAACATTTAGTACTTTTCGTACAACTTTAGTACGAATTAGCAAAACAGTTTCATAACTCAAAACCATATACCAAAAGGTAGCGCACTATATATTTTCGGGATTCAACATCTATTCCTTTATACAATTCTAAATGCGGTACTTTTTAGTACTTTTCGTACAATAATAGTAGTACACATTTCAAAACGCCCGCCAAATCTCAAACACAGATACCATGAATAATCTAAATAACAAATTTCAGAATTTAATCTCCATTCTTTCACCCAATATCAAATACAGAGCCATTCAGTACTTTTAGTACACATTTCCGAAACCACCTCCAAATCTCAATTCCAGATAACAAAAGAGAGCTCAGTATAAAATTTGAGGATTCCAGCGCTCTCCCTTCACCCAAACCCAAACTTAGTACCATTTAATACATTTCGTACAAATATAGTACAAATTTCCAAAACACCTCCAAATTCCAAACACAGTTACCATCAGTAATCTAAATATCAAATATCATAAATTTATCTCCATCCCTTCACCCGATGCTAAATATGGTACCATTCAGGGCTTTTCGAACGACTATAGTATACATTTCCAAAACCACCTCCATATCTCAAATTTTACGATTCCAGCCCTATCCCATTACCCAATTACAATTACTTTTCGAACAATTATAGTACACATTTTCAAACCCACACACAAATCTCAATTACAGATACCAAAAGGGTCTTCGGTATTCCAGATCTACCCCTTCACCAAATACCAACTTTAGTACCTTTCGTACAAATATATGACGCATTTCCAAACCACCGCCAAATCTCAAACACAGATACCATGAATATTTTAAATATAAAATTTCAGAATTTAATCTCTATTCTTTCCCTCAATACCAAATATCGTACCATTCAGTACTTTTCCTACAATTATGGTACACATTCCCGAAACCACCTCTATATATACATATAAACAGCGACCCTACTACCAATTTTCACCCAATACCAAATTGTACCAAATATAGCACTATTTAGTACATTTCGTGCATTTGTAGTACACATTTCCAAAACCAACTCTTTATTACAAATCAATTACGAACAGGGATCCCAATACAAAATTTTAAAATCCCAGGTTCATCCATTCACCTTTAACCAAAGAGTTACAAAGTTACAAATGTAAAGTTCGAATTTCCAATAACCCTTTGGTGCGTCTATCCTGCACTCCATTAGTGATCCACATTCCAAATTTCAGAATTCCTGCAGCATCGGCTCATCCAAATTCCATTTTGTACCAAATTTAGTACCATTTAATAGATACAAGTACGACTTTTTAAAGCTTCCAATCAGTTATTTCACTACTCTTTTATATACATAGATGTGGAAGAGAGGGAAATTTGACCCCCACCCAACATTTACGTTAACTTTCAAAACGCCGATGCATTTGTTTTCTGCTTTAAATTCTATTTTCATAACCTACTGGATTTTACCCGTAATTATTTGTTTTTGTAGCGGGTTTTTCCACTTGCATTATTAATATTTTTATGTCGTCTTTTGTGGTGCATATAACCCCATTTAATTCCTGACTTATGGTTTGAATGATTCCTTTATTTTTAATATTGTTTATTTTAGAAAGTCCATATCCATGATGACTATTCGCTATTGTCAGCTTACAACGATATTGCTGTCTTGGAATTGGAAAGACCTGTAACCTTCAATGAGTACGTCTATCCGGCATGTTTGAATACAGATCCCACAGATCCCGGGCCAGATGTACAACATTGGGTATCCGCTTGGGGTTCAGTGGCTGTGGGAAGTAAGTTTTCGCCACTTGACCTAATAACCATTTTTTATATCTAAATGTTTCCCCCAAAATCTAGGTAATGTATTTTCCAACATTTTACTGAAAATCCCCCTATTCGTGAAACCCCTTGACGAATGCAATGCGGTTTATGTCAAATACGGTTTGGTGTCACGTAACCGCCGAGGCATTGTTAGTACCCAGCTATGTGCCGAAGATAAGGAAAAGAAAAAAGACGCCTGTCAGGGTGATTCGGGGGGTCCGTTATTTGTAGATGTGGATGGTAAGTCCTAAAATGTCCATGTTTAAAGTTAATATATTATTTTCCGATTTCTAGAAATCCGTAAATGCTATAAAATAGTGGCTGTGGTATCCTCTGGTTTCAGTTGTGGCAATAGAACACCAGGTCTCTACACCAGAGTGGCATCGTATTTGGATTTTATAGAGAGTATCGTATGGCCCAATAGTGGCGAAGGTTCAAAGTGATTTAGAATATTTAAAAACCTTTTTCTGTATGACGATTCAAAAGGGATCCTTAAAGAAAAACCTAAGTATTTTTTATATTAAATTAAATAAAAAATTTATAAAGAAAAATCATACAAGGAATGGGGGTTTTTCTTTCGAGTTCATCTTTAAATCGTCATGCAGAAACAGACCATTAAAGGTTTAACATTAAGCAGGGATTATTTTTAAATTAAAAAAAATATTTTTATTATATTAAGATTAGATTAGATCATTTATTTGTTTTCTATGTTTGTTACAATTCAATGGACACATTATTAAATAATTAGAATAACAAAAATAAAAAAAGTTGTCTGAAAATTTGGAAACTTATTTTGCTAATACGCCAGCCGATGAAGCTTCTTCGCAAAATTAATAACTTATTACAACAAAATATCAAGAAGCACTGGTCTAATGTCATTATGCGTAGTTGACGTATGAAAAATAACGGTAATTTAGAAACATTGCGGATGTCCCACTTTGAAGGTGATCATAAGGTTACCAGATTGATTAGAAAGTGTTAGAAAAAACCTCGTTGGACATGGTAAAAAAATGCTTAAAGAATAATAAAAGTTTTATTGTAAAGAAGAAAATGTAAATAAATTTTTGAAACAAATTAAATTCAAAAAAAAAAAAAATTAATTAGAATAATATTAGCCAACTAAGTAATATTTAAATGTGTCCCACTTTATATGTGAATGACTGTAGTTTAATATAATAAAAACAAATTAAAAAATTGGATCGTTTTCCATGGGAGCAGGAATCCTTATGGGACAACAAATTAACTCTTCCCTGGTATCAAAGCCACAATGGTCAATTTCGCGAACGTTATAAATTGTCAATTCAATTAATTCCTTTATGAGAGGGCACTCACTCCATGGTTTGCAAAGACCGGGAGACATCATGGTCACACAATCGTCATTTTCTTAAAGGGAAATTAAAAACAAAATAAGAAAAAATAAAACAAAATTAACAAAAATTATTAAATATTAAAAATCAAACAAATACCTACTATACTTAATTGCCTCCGATAACGGAATGGACGCGAAGAGTACACAAAACAAACAGAAGAGCATTTTCATCGTTACCCAAATCGATAAATATGTGATCGGTCGATTTTTTATCTATGCAAAAGACAACCTCTCGGCATTACTTCGCCTAACTGACTAAATCTTAAGTCTCTTTAAATGCGTAATGTGCTGACATTGGGAGCAAACTTCTTATCATTAAAGTCGGCATTAATGGGCTCTCTGCAGACCTAAGCCAGAGAGAGAGAGAGTGTGTTAATAACTGTTGGCGTTTATTATTCATGCTGAAGGTGTGCCTCACATGTGTCTTTCCGTTGTCCGTTGGTTGTGCAGTTTGACGATCACATAAAAAGAAATAAACAAAAATGTTCACGTTTAAATTTGTATTCATCTCTCTGACTCACAATATTCCCTAACAGTGTTTATAAATAAATAAAACTAAAATTAGTACCTTGCCCTCTGAGCAAAACAAGATGGGTCAAGTATGCAATATTTGTCGAAGAATACTTTTAAATGATGTATAGATTATAGCCAGATGAGAGGGTCTCAAAAAAGAGAAGCGGTACACAAGAACAAAACGACGCTATAAATGAAAGAAACCTGTAAGCCTGAAGCCAAGAACATAGAAAAAAAATCTCCATGAAAATCAAAGGCAAATGTGGGAAGCGTTTCGGCACGTTTTTTAACACCGTTATCGGTAAGTTAAGTCACAACCCAGCTAGCATTTGGAAGATTGTTTTTGAAAAAATCACTTTGGGGAGTCTTCTTCGAGTCCTTTTGGTGGCCAAAAAATGATTAACTGACTTGTATAAACGAAAAGCGACTCGAAACTGACTCTCTCTAATGAGTAAAAAGAGATCAGTTTAATATACAACAACAACAACATTTAGCAGAATCGCAAATCAATCATTGAGTTGTGCAAAATGTGACAATTTTTCCTTTATTTATTATCGTATAACAATCATCTAGAGATTGAAAAATGATTAGTCTTAAACAGATCTTGCAGCTGTTTGAAAAGTGATCAAAATTATGTATTTTTTGATGATATTTTGCACAGATAAGTGCATAAATGCTGCTTGTTTTGTTATGCAAGGATCATTTTGTTTCTGGGCTGACTATCAAAAAGTTGAATTATTGTTCATTTATAAAAAGAGCGTGGAGGCGTCAACAGCAAAAGTGTATAATATTGAAAAGTGAAAAATATGAAAAGTGTACGTTAATCTCTTTATTTATTAATTGTATCCTACACCACAAGGTGGTCAGGGTATTATGTCTTTGTGCATTTGTTTGTAACAGCCAAAAGGAAACGAGATAGACCCATAGTTCCTTTTGATGATCTGCATAGAATCACATTCTGAGTCGATTTATGCATGTCCGTCCGTCCGTCTGTCCATGTATTTTTGTAAACAAAGTACAGGTCGCATTTATTGCCCGATCCAGATGAAATTTTGCAAAGATCTTTTGTTTGGCCCAAGGACGAACCCTATTGAAATTGGAGATAATCGGTCAAAATTTAGATATAGCTCCCATATATATCTTCGTCCGATTTGCCTTTTATTGTGCACCAAACGTGTAATATCAGTACGAATTGTATGGAATTTTGCATATACATCCAAATTAGGCCTGAAAATATGTAAGCCAAATTTGATCGAAATCGGTTCAGATATAGCTATAGCTCCCATATATATTGTTCATCCGATTTGTTATTTTTGTCCACCGCCGCCGTAATATGCACTATGCAACAACAATATTTGGGGAAATATATCAAATACAGCTCAGAAATACATTTGCTAAATTTTATGAAGATCGGTTCAGATTTGGATATAGCTCCCATATATAACTTCGTCCGATTTACCTTTTATTGTGCAACAAACGTCTTATATTTGCCCAAATTGGATGAAATTTGGCACATACGACCGAATTGAGTCTAGAAGCTAGTATGCCAAATTTGGTAAAGATCGGTTCAGATATATTTGTTAACCACCGCCGTAATATGCACTCTGTAACAACAATATTTTGGGAAATACAGCAAATACAGCTCAGAAATATCTTTGCCAAATTTTATCGAGATCGATTCCGATTTGGATATAGCTCCAATATATATTTTTGTCCGATTTCAAATTAATTGTGCACCAAATGGGCAATACAAGTCCGAATTTAAAAGATACAAATGCTTCGGTATATTTAGTTCTTTGAATTTTAAATTATAATTATAATCATGGCGTGTATGATTAAATTGTCCCGTAAAAACTTTTAATTGTTATGCGCAGCTCTACTAAATTAGCAAAGTGGTGTAGGGTATCATAAAGTCGGCCCCGCCCAACTTTAAGACTTTCTCTACTGGTTTTTATAAAGAATGTCAGCAAGTTAAATTACAGAAATAGAAAAGGCTAAAATAAAAACGATGGTAAATAAGAGGCAGAAAATTTAATTTTGCAAAAATAAAGGAAAACAATATGAGAAAAATGAAGAAAATGTCTACAAACATGAATTGGTGCAGGGTAAATCTGAGTGCAGAAGTGTTATTTAGTTACAGTAATCAAAAGTAAGTTGGTAAATGGACAGGCTTGCACATATTTTATTTGTCATATTTGTCATCTCAAATACTCAAGCAACGAGAAGGATATGAACACTATCCTACAAACACATTTTGTTCACGCTTGAGACCGCGTTACAAAAAGAAAACGGCACGATTGCATTGTTCCTGATTGTTCCTGATTTTTAATTTTTTGATTTCATTTTTTTTTTATTTTTTCTTATTTAATTTTTTACTATATTTTTTACAATCGCATTCATTGAAATAACAGTACAAATTATAATCATAAAAGCTGAATTGTTTAAAATAATTTTTTATATGAACATATATAATCAAATTCTTTTTTTGTACGATACATCCGAATATTTAGAAATCACGTACGTGATTCGTAGAATCGTAAACACTCATATAAGACTCATAAATGACTCGAAATTAAGACAAAGGGGACTCAAAAAAGACTCCGAAATGAATATACATATGAGTAATATATGACACTTAAAAGACTAATAAATTACTCACTTAAGACTCATAAATGTCCAGAAAATGACTTAAAAAAGACTCGAAAAAGATTCAAAAATTAAGCGTTTTGGCGCAATAAATGATTAGAAAACGACTCGAAAAAGACTTGTAGAATGATCAGAAAATGGTCGAAAAAGACTCTTAACTAATCTAGAGGAAGATTCATATGCGATTTATTTAGAAGAGCCGCGGGAGGTCACGTTTTTCTCCCGACAAATGAGTCTTTTATGATCAGAAAATGCGCTCATATTCCAGCCTTTTAATCGCGCAACCGGGTCAAAAAAGACTCGAATATGATTGAAAATTTCAAAAAATGCTGACTGGGAAAACCCAATACCGCCGATGAACTAAAACAAAGAAAGGCCCATTGTTGGAACTCTTTTCTCCAGTTATGCCCGTGTGGAAGAAGAAGCAAGACATACACGAGTATACCACTCTTCACGAGAGAAGATCTCGTTGTGGCAACATAAATATTAAGTTCGGTAAAAATACTTGGTCCAGACGGCATACCAAACTAGGTAATGAAGGAGATTGCGCTCAAATGACCACAACTACTTTTAGATACGTATAATGAACGGCTAGTGCAAGGGAAATTTCCTGAAATGGGGAAAGTACAGAACCTGGTACTTAGGAGCTAAGGGAAAGATGTAAAGAGGTTTCGATTTTTTAACAATCGATTATTGTAAGTTTTCAAAAAATCGACTATCGACTTTTTGGAAGTCGAAAAAAACCGATGTATGGTGTAGGGTAGACAAAGTAATAATAGATGCCAATCGGGAAATTTTTCTCACAGATCCTTATGGATGGACATAGAAATCTATGATACGAAAAGAAAACTTGGGCAACAGACAAGAAACGATAAAAATTCAGCGGAAATAAGAATCGAGATAAGAAGCAAAGCAATAAGCTGACATAGAAACAAAGAAATATACAGAAGAACTATGGCTGATAATAATAATTCAAAGGTATACCAACAACTCCAGGTGATAATATATACAATGTTTCGAACAAATCTCTTAGTATGAATTATGAAAAAAATATATTACATTTCTTGTTCAACGTCGACGTAAAACTTCCTGTTTGAATCACATTCTAG